TTTTTTTTTTTTTTTTTTTAAACTTTGCTGTTTGAGTCCTAGAAAGTTCAAGCTTGGAGCTCTTTAGCAACGGAGCTTTCACTACATAATATTCTATGGCTATCTCCTTTAATACCATAGCCAGCTTAACTATAGAAGGGAACTGATGGCTGCCTGATGGTTTTTCTTAATTCAAAAACAATTCAAGCCACATGTGGTGGTCCTTGCCTATAATCCAAGTACAATGGGTGACTGAGGCAGGAGGGTGCCAAATTTGAGCCTGGCAATTTAATTGATTTTACAAACCCCTATCTGGCGGAGGGGTGGGGTGCGAGGTGTAGCTTGGTTCAGTCCCCAGTGCTGCACCCCACCCACCACCCCCAAATTTATTTATTTATTTTTATTGGTATATATTTGCAATACATGATTCTATTCTTCACAGAGTTGATACATGTACATAACACATTTTAATTCTCTTTTAAATCATCTTCCACTCTCCTTCCCCTTCCCAAATTTGAATATATACAGAACAGTACAACTTTTATTTGTTTTAGCTAGGTGTATGGTAGTGATTTCAGAGATGTTTCTTCCCTGGCAAATTTTGCCCCATGAGCAATTGAGTAAGAATATTAACACTTAATACTATGTTTTATAAATCCTCTTTCTGACTAGGCATTGTGCTTCAGAGTAAGGTATTTTTGCTTCTTCTAGAATGTCCTCTTTTTTTAGCTACTATTTGTTTGTTTTCATTTCAGTTTGGCTTCATTAACTATGAAGTAGGAGATAGCAAGAAGCTCTTTTTCCATGTGAAAGAAGTTCAGGATGGCATTGAGCTACAGGCAGGAGACGAGGTGGAGTTCTCAGTGATTCTTAACCAGCGCACTGGCAAGTGCAGTGCCTGTAATGTTTGGCGAGTCTGGTGAGTTTGTTGTGATTGGATTAGCAACCAGTCTGGACTGTCTCTCCCCTTTCTCCCATTTCTTTACTCTTCTAAGCTTGGTTTCTCCCACCCCCTTTTTGGTCATTTTTTAGGTTATTTCCTGTCTCTGCCAAACCTTTAGTCTCATAAACTTGGTGCAGTGAAGCACCTGGGCACTATAGTAAACTAGATCTTAAGTATAAAAAAGATTATGTGGTATTTGATCTTAAAGAATTCTGCTTATTAGCTCCTTTCCTTCTACCAACCTATTTCTAGAATATATGCTGTTAAAATTATAATGTTTAGGGCTAGAGATTCAGCTCAGTGGCACCGTGCCTGCCTCGCTAGCGCAAGGTCCTGAGTTCGATCTCCAGTTCTGAAAATAAAATTGTTTAGTTGGGTATGGTAGCACAGGCCTGTGATCACATCGGGAGGCTGAGGCATGAGGATTGCAAGTTTTGACCTAGCCTACACATAGAAAGTTCAAGACCAGCTTGAACTTGTTTATCCCCTCTCCCCCAAATTTCTATGCCATTTGATTCCTCTACCTTTAAAAAAAAATTGTAACATTGTTGCCATGAGAGGAACTGAGAATCTGGAACTGTTTCTTCATATCTCACTTTTGTAAGGTTTTCTACCTGTGCTGTATTGTGTTATGTGTTTGTAGAATTGGTGTCTTGTTGCAGACGAGTCTAGGACTGACCCTCACCCAAATAATTCTTCCTGCCCCTTATATACTTGGAACCTTGAATTAAGAAATAGATTTAAAATGCACACACACTTGCCCGTTTTGTCTTGCTGTCTAGATGAAACAAGATTCCTGTTTATTAAAAGTGAGTCTTTTGGGCAGTTAAGAAACATTCCTCTGCAAGCATTTGCTTTCTTCCCACCAAGCGTTATTTCTTCTTACCTGTTGACTTGCTACAGCGAGGGCCCCAAGGCTGTTGCAGCCCCTCGACCTGATCGGTTGGTCAATCGCTTGAAGAACATCACTGTGGATGATGCCAGTGCTCCTCGCTTAATGGTTCTTCGTCAGCCAAGGGGACCAGATAACTCAATGGTATGATTCTGTACGAGGCTTAATGGAAGCCAGGTGACCAGCATACTATGTGAAAGTCCTTTGTCAACATAGATTAGATAGTGATGCAACATAGATTGTAGTAAAACAAGGAGCTTAGCGTTGCTTGTAACTAGTTGAGGCTCTGTACACATGGGTTCAGCCCCTGATACAATGGTTGCTTTCAGTAAGAACATTTCATGCTCCTCCTGATAGTCTGTACATAGCTAAGGTAATGAATGGGTCAAGAGTGCTTACAATAGGTTTCTTCTCTGGAAAGACCTGGTAGCCGTTACAATGACTTAAAATTCATATCATAGAACATGCTGAAATTGTGAATGTACCCTTCTTGTACAGTGAAGTTCACGCATCCAGTTCATTAACTGTGACAATTTTATTTCTTTCAGGGATTTGGTGCAGAAAGAAAGATCCGTCAAGCTGGTGTCATTGACTAACTACATCCACAAAGCACATCCTTAATCCACTATGATCAAGCTGGGGGGATTCTGGTGAAGGGTTCTGAATATCTCCCTCTTCATCCCTCCCAAAATCTGGAAAACTTATTCTATTGACCTATTACACCAGTTTTAACACCTTCCTCGTGTTATGTTTAAAAAAGTAAATAAATTTAAGAAACCATTTTAAAATTATGCACAGTTGCAACCTGGAGAACTTAAGGTGGCGCCTTATAGTATCACTTTTAGGAGCTTTATTTGGTGCATTTAACGCAACTGGTAATCGCAAAATCCACTTTGCCTGTTTAAGTGAAAATAGACTGTTACCTGTTGGCCCTGTGAAATTCTGCACTGGATGATTTAGTGTATACTTTACCTTCATTACTCCTGGCAAGGTGTTCTGCCTTAGCAATCAGTTGCATTCTTTTTCTTTTCTTTCCAGTTCTTATGCTTTAATTCTGAGGACCATAGGAGGGTAGAATATATTACATTTTTAAAATTACAAAAATTTGTATAGGCAGACCATTTTCTTAAGTTGATGGCCAAATGTTAAAATGTTCTTTTTCCTATCATTTATAATCTTGTCACAATACACTTAACTAAGTTTGGTTAGATTTCAGTGAAAATTATCTTCCAGAGTAGTTTTCCCCCCTGGGATGGGGTTAATAACTTTACAGTTATATATGTATGGTGCAGAATTTCATCCAAATGAAGTGTGCCAGGAGTGTGATAATTTAATCGTATTTAAAGAAAAAAAGACGAATGCACAAATTTGCTGCTGCTTAGATCACTGCAGCTTCTAGGACCCAGTTTCTTTTACTGATTTAAAAACAACAAAAAAAATAATAATAAAAAAAAAGTTGTGCCTGAAATGAATCTTGTTTTTTTTATAAGTAGCCGCCTGGTTCCTGTGTCCTGTTGAATACAGGCGCCTGACCCTTGGTGCAGCTTTTGTTCAACTTTGTATCACGGGAATGGATTGGTCTGATTCCTTGGCCCTCATCTTGAATTGGCTACATACAGGGTCCGTGGCCAGTGGACTGAAGGCTTTGTTTTAAGATGACAAGGGTCAGCTCAGGGTATGCGGGGGAGGGCGCTTTTATCTTCCCCGTTTGAGGTTTTGAACTCTGGGTAAAGCGGCCATTTATCTTTGTAAACACAAAACATTCTTGCTTTCTCCAGTTTTCTGTTAATGGCGAAAGAATGGAAGCGAATAAAGTTTTACTGATTTTTGAGACACTAGCACCTAGCGCTTTCATTATTGAAACGTCCCGGGAGGGAGGGGCGGGTCTGGGTGCGGCCTGCCTCGTGACTAGGTCCTATGCCCACGTGGCCTGGGCGTGAATCGTGCGCCCAGGGCGCTGACTGATTACGTAGAGGGCGGGGCCGGAAGTGCCGCTCCTTGGTGGGGGCTGTTCATGGCGGTTCCGGGGTCCTCAACGTTTTTCCCGGTTGAGATCCTAAATCCGTGTGAAGCTGGGACAGCAGAGCTCGAGGTAAGGATCTGGTGTGCGTAGCACTGGGCTTTGGAGCATGTTGGCGTCCTATTGATGCCAGGGATCGAGCAGAACTTAAGAAGTGAAGACAAAGGCCTTGGGCGGGGGTCCCTCGTTTGGGGCTGTATGTGGGGCAGTCAATCTTTTTGGAGACCATCGGGCAATTGGGAAGGGGTCCCGGTCTCGAGACTCCCCAGAGCTGAGGGGGGGGGGGTCGGGGGGGGTGCTCCTTTACCCCTAGCTGAGGGCGGGGACCGGGCCCGGTTGAAAAATAGACGCGGGGTGGAGTTATCTAGAAGGCTTTTAACTCGGGAATCTGTTGCCACGTTAACCTGCAAGTCTTTTTACTTCCTGAGTCACTTCTGAGAACTAAATGGAAGGTCACATGTATGGAACCAATACAGTTCCAACTGACTTCAGTTACTATTGATTATAGAAAGCTTTGAAGTACTGTAGATCTAGCTTGCCAGTTAACCCAAACTACTGCTTTCCCACAGGTTCTTGCTGGTGTGAAATGACTGAGTATAAACTGGTGGTGGTTGGAGCAGGTGGTGTTGGGAAAAGCGCACTGACAATCCAACTAATCCAGAACCACTTTGTTGATGAATATGATCCCACCATAGAGGTAAGGCCCAGTGCTAGTCCACAGGCTCATCTAACCTTCACTTTGTTTTCCCTTACCCATAACTTTTATTTATTATTTAGAAGTAAAGAAGAGAAACAAAAGTTATTTTGTATATCTATCCAGTAATACAGTAAAGCTTTTTGTGTAGAATTCATTTGTGAAGTTTACAGTCTTTAACAGCTCTGTAAACTTGGAAACTCAGTATTGAATTCATTCTGTTTCTTCATAGGACAGCTCTATTAGAAGTACTAAATAGCTAAAGAAATTGGTTTAAAAGAGATAATATTTTCTATAAATGGTAAATCACTGCATAATAGTGCATTCTTAAAGATTCTTTTGTTATGAGAGTTCATGTTCCAGATTATCTTTAATAAGCGATGTCTAAGTCTCTTTAAGTTTTGTAGTTTTGTTCAGTTTAGAAATGTTTAATTCTAGCTGGGTGTGGTGGTACACACCTGTAATCCTAGCACTCAGGAGCCTGAAGCACGAGGATCCCTATGGGTTTTAAGCCAGCCTGGGCTACATAGTGAGTTCAAGACCAGCCTGAACTACACAGTAAGACCCTGTCTCAAAAAAGAGAAAGAGAAATGTTTAATTATAAAGATGATTTTAATCCACCCTTGACCTCCCCTACCATCTAGCTACTGAGTACTTAATGTAAACTACTTCTGATACGGCTGCCATTAAAAATTTTTCAGAATTTTATTTATTGAGGTAAGTAAAATACATAAATCTCATGTGTACAGCTCAAGTTACATTTTTATACACTCGTGTAACCTCCACCCAGATGACTAGTAAGTTTCCAGTGCCACTGAAGACATCTCCCAAATGTAATGACATTATTAAAATACAAGTAAAATTACCACCATAAAGCCAAATTAGAAATATTTCTATGTGATTATGGCTTTTTTCCTTAAAAATTAATTATACTTTGTTTGGAAACATTTAAAAATTTGATTCAGATATATTTCCCAAAGATATAATGTTATGGTAAGAAAGACATTTTTGGTATTATCTTTCCTGAAACAAAAGATATTTGTATATTTAGTTATAAACACAGATGACCTGGGCGTGGTGAAGCATGCTTGTAATCCCAGCAGTCGGCAAGCTGAAGCAGGAGGATCTCTGCAAGTTTCAGTCCAGTTTGAGCTACATAGTTCAAGGCCAGCCTGAACTGCATGATGAGACCTTGTCTGAAACAAAACAAAATCCAGGGAGAAAAAACCCTACAAATGATTCTTTATCCAGGGGTAGATTCTGATTGGTTGGAGCTGTATTTAAAATTATAAACAGCTCAAAGTAGTCTGGTTCAAGGCTTAGTATAATATGCTATGAACCAAAATTTCTGTATATAGTGTCCTAACTGCAGAAGAGATATTGTTTGAGTGAGTTTTTTTCCCCATATTTTTTAGGAACAGAGTGACCACTTTGTTTTTGGTACAGGGGCTCAAACTCAGGACCTTGTGCTTATGAGGCAGGTGGTGGCACCACTGAGCTAAATCCCTAGCCCTCACATTTTCTTTCCTGCAGGCCTACTGGATTTGGGGCTTTTTCCTGGGGTGACAAGTAGTTTCTATTTGTGATTATATATTAACAGTTTGAGGGACAAACCAGATGGACAGAAATGGACTTGAATGGTTAGGAGCTTATTTATCCTTGGCAATAGTATTCCATTTCCTGTGGTTTTTATTAAAAATTGAATCTCCTCCCCACCCCCAGGATTCTTATCGAAAACAGGTGGTTATAGATGGTGAAACTTGTCTGTTAGACATTCTGGATACAGCTGGACAAGAGGAGTACAGTGCCATGAGAGACCAATACATGAGGACAGGCGAAGGCTTCCTCTGTGTGTTTGCCATCAATAATAGCAAATCATTTGCAGATATTAACCTTTACAGGTATGAGAACATTTTTTCTGAAAGGATGGTCTTAAGGGTGGTCTGAGACTTCGTGGGGAAATGAGGAAAGATGCAGCTTTTTTATTTGGGAAGAGTTGGTTTCGAGTTGTTTGACATTAAGAATCAGGTTATTACTGAAAGAAAATACTGAAATACATATTTTTATTTTATACTGTTACTATAATGTTTGGTAATACATAAATGAATCTTGCTACTGGGAACAGTTCAGAACTAGAGGTGTTGTGATGAGAGATCACAAAGGAATTTCATAGAGGAAAATAATGTCTGAAAATTATTCTTTGATAAGTAATGGAAAAAATCATAGGAAGAAACCAGTAGAGTGTAAATAAAGATGAAAGTGAGGCAAAGGCATATAAATATGGACTTTTTCCGTAGAACGATAAATTTTAAAAGCTAGATTGGGTCATAAAAAGTTCTAGTGCAAGCCAGACATGGTAGCATATGCCTATAATTCCAGCATGGTGGGAAGCTGAGGCAGGAGGATTGAAAGTTTGAGCTCAGTATGGCCAATTTTGTGACTTAGCAAGATGTTGTCTCAGAAAAATTTTTAAAAGGGTATAGTTAAGTGTGAAGGCCCTGAGTTCAACTCCAGGACCTTAAAAAAAAAAAAAGGCAAGGTGTGACACACACCTGCAATTCCAGCAGCTGGGAGACTGAGATAGGATTGCCACAAGTTCAAGGCCAGCCTGGACTACATAGTAAGTGCAAGGCCATCGTGAACTACGCAGACCCTGTCTGAGAAAACAAAATTCTAATACAGTGGACCCTTGACTTACGAACTCAGTTCATTCATGAGGGCTGGGTGTAACTCAAGTTGTTGTAAGTCAGGACTGTTTTTCCCATGAGAAATAATGGAAATACCTGTCATGTGTTCTGAACTTCCCAAAGCACCCCTTAACCAACCTTTTCATAATAAAAAAAGGTATAATGTGCATAATTTGCCAGAAACACCAATAATTTTCCTAGTGTATTCACCAAAAAATTATAAAATATGCCTAGTTTATGAGGAACAACAATTTCATACTGTACTCACCTTTCAAGTTGACATCTTTGGCTTCCAGGAAGGGAGGATGAAATGGAAGGTGGTTATTGTTTGGAAGGAGAGTCCCCTTCCATGAGAACATGAGGAATCTGGCTCTCTGATGTCCTTTCTCTCCTTGCTCCAGAGTCTGTAGCCTACTAGGGCCTGCTTCTGGCTCTCCGGGTCTCAACCTTTTCAGAACTAAAAACTGGTATAAGGCTGTCTGTTTCTGTCTTTTCTGTAACACTGTTTTATAGTATGACGTGACGTTGTCACTAAGCAAGTGAATGCAACAATTAGCTTTTTCTCTGGGTGGGACCGCTCTGCAGATGTTTGTTGCTCTGTCCATTTTTTCAGGATTTCCTTTATTTCAGAAGAGCTTTGCTGCACCTATTGTTGATATTCCTCTTCCTCTTCAGAAAGCTCCTCAGCTGCTAGTCTCTTGCTCAGCCAGAAATTGCTGAAGTTCTCTGTAGACAGTTCCTCTGAGTGTTCCTCCACCAGTTCCTCAACATCACCACTGTCTGCCTGCAAGCCTATGGACTCTGCTGTAGTGACAGTGTCATCAGCCACAGGTCAATTGAAGGCTCAGGCTCCTCTACACAGCCTTCAAAGTCTCTCTCCTGTATTATTTTAGGCCACGCTTTCTTCCAGGCAGATCTCAGTGTCCTTAGAGAGACATTGGCCCAGGATTTCTCAGTTAACCCCACAGAGGAAAGACTGGCATTTTGGGTCATAACTCAGGATTTCAGTTGTAAATTAAAACTAAAATTCTAGTTGTAACCCAAGTTTTTCATATTTGAGGCCAGTCATAATTCAAGGGTCCACTGTGTAACATACTTTGTTTTACATAATCAGAAATGGAATTCAGAAGGTGTTTTGCTGGGTTTCTGAGTCATGACTATTAATAGTAACAGAGCAGAATCAAAATTCCAGGGCTCTTTTTTTCTGAGCTCTGTTCTTTAGGCAGAAAATCCAGTGATTAAGAATACAGCTTAGGGCCAGGGATTTAGCTCACTGGTTCCACCAGGTGCAAGGTCCCGGGTTCGATCCCCAGTACCAAAAAGAAAATACAGCTCTGGGGCCGGGGATTTAGCCTAGTGGTTCCGCTGCCTGCCTCACAAGCAAAGAGTCCAGAGTTCGATCCTTGGTACCAAAAAAAAAAAAAAAAAGAATACAGCTCTGCCTAGGTTGAAACTTGGCTCCATCATTTATTAGCTATGTTACTTTGGGGAAAACTACTAAATCTGCTGTCTAAATTTCCTTATGTGTAATAAGAAAATAATAGTACCTGCCTCCAAGAGTTGTGAAGTTAAGTCAGTTACTATGTAAGTCACTCAGAACAGTGCCTGGCTGGAAGTAAATACTTCAGTGTGTGTGTACGGCCTTGAGTCCTTGTTTTCTTTTTCCATTCATATGCACATGTCTGCTGGCAGACGCAAACTAGTTCAAACCTTCTTCACTTCCAATTCTTTCCGTAGAGAATACTTTCCAGTAGAGTCAGCACTCCCTTTCTGGAGGCACTAACATTCTCAGATTTAGACAAACTCTGGGAAAAAATTGATACTGAATATATATGGACTTTTTCATTCCCTAAACAATATACGATAAAAACTATTTACATAGCATTTACATTGCATTAGGTATTATATATAAGCTAGAGATGATATAAGTGTACAGAAAGATGTACATGTTAATATGCAAATACTACATTTTATAAAAGACATAAGCAGATTCTCAGGTTTTGCTGTTTTTGGTGGGGGGTATCCTGGGACCCTTTTCCCATGGCTACTGAGTGACAACTGTACTTAATTTTTTTGTTGTTGTTTGTTGTTGTTTTGTTTTGTTTTTTGGTACTGGGGATCGAACTCGGGTCCTTGCGCTTGCGCAGCAGGCGGCGAAACCACTGAGCTAAATCCCCGGCCCAATGTACTTAATATTTAAAGTTCCCAACACTTGTAAACATTTGTTGGCTTACCAGAATCTTTGTTCTTCTTAACAAGGTATTTATGCACATAGTATAGCAAGATAAAAATTAATGAAACATAGGCTTAAGAATCAAAAAGCTGGGCATGGTGGTGCATGCCTGTAATCCCATCTCTCAGGAGGCTGAGGCATGAGGATTGCCTCCAGTTCCAGGCAAGCCTGGGCTATGTAGCAAGACCCTGTCTCAAAAAAAAAATCGAGGTAAAGAGAAAACAAAGATAAGAAAATAAAGTGGAGTTAAAGAATGAGTTTGTTCTGTAACTGTGCATGAACCTCCAGTGACTTTCAATGGGTAAACTACAGGTTTAGCCACTATTGTGAAAAGAGAAGTAGCCAGCCAGGTGTGGTGGTGCACACCTATAATCCCAGCACTTGGGAGGCTGAGGCAGGAGAACTGGGAGTTCCAGGCCAGCCTGGATCACATGTCTCAAAAGAAAAAAAAACCAAAGGGGACGGGTAAAGCAACCAGCCGAAAGATTCAATATCTGTATGGCGCAAGCAAATTAGTTGCTCAGAAAAAAAGCAGAGTTATGCTGACACCAGAAGGAAATTTTCCTGATCCTCAAAGAGAGTTGTAAAGAACAATGGTAACCTGACAGTGATATGGTCCAGGTTTCTTGAGGCTGTCTTCAAGTATTCCTTAATATAGTCTCCTTCCATCATACCAGTGACAGTTCTGCAAATAGCCAGTGAAAAGCAGCTTAGGTACATGACTGTGGGTGTAATCCAAAGGTAGATTTTAGAGCACTGCTGTGCAGTATGGTATCCACAACCAGATACAGTTTTTTACATTTAAATTAAAATTAAGTCAAATTGAAAGCTTAGTTCATTGACCACATTAACAAGTGACTTTTAAAGTGCTCATAGCTACATGTGACTAGTGGCTACCATGTTAGTGCAGATAGAACATTTCCATCATTGCCTAGAGTTCTGTTGGATAATGTTCATCAAAAGGATCAACAACAACTTATAGACTGCTGGTAGGTATGTCTAATGTCATTGAAGGGAGTGCTGTCTTTTGGAGTTGTGTGTCCTTCAGCACTGCCCCCCCCATTCCCTTTATTAAGAGCAGTTCTGGTGTTTTCTGTTTTATATCTTAGACTTCCAGCTGTAATTTTACTTGGAAAAAAAACTTGGTACTACCCATCTTGAAAAGTGGGTAGATTATCTTCCGTTAAAAACTGTCACTCCAAGGGAACTTTAGAAAGCTGTTTAGGCAGAGAGATTACTTGTTATACTTCAGACATTAGAGTATTATTTCTGGTTGTCACTTGAATCCAGAGCCAAGCTCTGGAGTCCAACAGCCTAACAAAAGGATGTATCAAGGCAGGGTAGCCGCCCATTTCCACTAGGAAAGTGAACTGGTACTTACAGCTTCCCCATGGCTACCACATCAAGTCTCAGCCAGTCTCCTTAGTATCCAAGGTTGTTCTTTTAAGTGGTCAGAAATAGGAATCTCAACATAGATGTTAATAGGGCTATGTACAACCTTCCAGTTTCTCTTTTGCCCTACCAGTCTTGTTTTTCTTATAATAGCATATTCCCTGTTTTAGGGAGCAGATTAAGCGAGTAAAAGACTCGGATGATGTACCTATGGTGCTGGTAGGAAACAAGTGTGATTTGCCAACAAGAACTGTTGATACAAAACAAGCCCATGAACTGGCCAAGAGTTACGGGATTCCGTTCATTGAAACCTCAGCCAAGACCAGACAGGTACAGTAGGGCTTCAGTCATCTGTGCCAGGGTTAAACCTCTTAACAGTTTATCCTGAACATCACTGCAACAGCGCCTTTGTTTACGTACTATCCTGAGCACTGCTCGGGCAGGTGTGATTTCAACCAGTCAATTCTTGTATTGAATATATTTGATAAAATTGTTGTGTTTATATTTGCTGTCATATTAGCCTATAAAAATTAACGAAAAAATATGCAATTTTTGGTCGTCCTGTATTTAAATGATTGGACTGGTAAGTGGCTAAGGCAGATAAGTGGTTTTTTGTTTTGGTTTGGTTTTTTTGGTACTGGGGATCGAACTCAGGACCTTGCACTTGCAAGGCAGGCGATGACACCACTGAGCTAGATCCCCGATCCAAGACAGAGAAGTTTTAATTCTCTATTATGTTTGTAGTACATAATAGTTAAGAATTTGTTTTGGAGGATTGCTGTATGTATAAAATCATATCTATTATATATATATTTTTTTTTAATTTTAATCTAGACCATTTTTTGCCACCTCCTAACTCCCTTCCCCTTGATCCTCTTTCCCTATCTCCAAAAAGTCTGCCTTTCTCTTTCCTACCATCTCTTTTATTTTACACTTGAATTTATTTATATCTTGGGTTTCTCATACATGCAAATCATGCACTATTTACCTTTCTGTGTCTTATTTATTTCACTTAATGTTGTAGCCTCAAGAGCCATCCATTTTCCTGCATATGGCATGATTTCATTCTTTATGGCTGAAGATTAATCATATCACATTTTCTTTTTTTTTTTCACATTTTCTTTATTGACGGGCATCTGTTTCCAGAGCTTAGCCATTGTGAATTGTGCTGCTATAAATATGGATATACATGTATCACTATAGAATGGTAGTACCCTCATAGTCTCAGCTACTTTGGAGGTTGAGGTGGATTGATTGCTTGAGTCCATGGGTTTGAGACCAATCTGGGAAACAGTGAGATCCTTTTAAAAAAAAATTTTCCATAAGCATTAATCCTCTTGCTATCAACACTGAGCATCGTTTAGGGGTTACTGCCTCCTAAGTGGAGTCTTTAGATCTGTAGGTTCTGTTCTGTGTCCCACTTTGCCCTTTTTCCTTTGCTGAACTTTTTTTTTTTCCAAACTATGCCGTTGATGTATCAGCCTGTAGATGTGACTAAATAGAAATGTTAAACTTTTAGTCTCCTCTTTCTAAGTCACCCTATTTTATCAGCTGTTATTTTAGTAATTGGAATTTTTAAATCCATATAAAGAAATACAAATGAAAACTTACCATGTAGATTGTGTCAGTTAAGCTGGCCTTTGTTTCTTTCTCCTCTCCTAGGGTGTTGAAGATGCGTTTTACACACTCGTGAGAGAAATACGCCAGTACAGAATGAAAAAGCTCAACAGCAGTGATGATGGGACTCAAGGTTGTATGGGGTTACCGTGTGTGGTGATGTAACAAGGTGAGCATGTGATCCCTTGACATAATTATAAGTATTATTTACCATGAGGGGGTTGGGAGGAGTGTTGCTGTTACTACTTCTCTGTTGCTATTTAACTGAATGTGTCTTTGTATTTAATTATAAATTATTTTCCTTTTGGTGCCCTTTCTGAGAGTACTAAGGTCTAACTTGTTCTTAAAACATTTAATTATTCTACAGAAAGCTATATATATAGCAAAATACTATTTATGGTATATATTTGTGCTGTATTCATGGCAAGGACCAAGAGTTTTCAGAATCACTACATAAAAACTAAAGGATAATGATTTGGTGTTTGTTCTTTTTTTATAGATACTTACAAAGTTCTATCAGAAAAGAGCCACTTTCAAGGTAGAACAAGTTTGAAAATGTACTGTCATTTAGATAGAGTTCTTAAATTTGTTTTTCTTGTACCCTGTGTGCCACTTACCCACATTTCATCTTTATTTCAGCTGCACTGATAACCTGGTCCTGACTTCCCGGGAGGAGAAGTATTCCTGTTGCCTGTTGCTCTCTTCATCTCAGAGAAGCTCCTGCTATTTCCCCAACTCTCAGTATATGAGCACAGTCTCCACTTGAGAACTTCTCAGAATAACTACCTCCTCATTTGGTTGTCTGACCAGAGAAATGCACCTCTTGCTAATTCCCCAGTAGTTTTCTGCCCTGGGCTCTCCCCAACAAAAACAAACAACTCTACCACCCAGGTTTTTATCCAATAAGCAACTCATGCTCTGAAACAGAACCAAACTGTAGACATGAAATTCTGTTAAAAAGTTTCTTGGGCTCTAAAGCAGCAACTGCTGGTGATCCATCTTTTCCTTTTTATTTTTGAATGTGGGACCTATGTTAGATTTTGGAGAAATGTTCGTAAAGTACTGTTTTGCCAAGAATATAATTATGTTACTGATAGGTTGGTTTGTAGTGTTGTCAGCTATATTCTACAAACTGGCATCTGCTCTGTGTTCGTAAATACAAAAGTGAAGCCAGGCATGGTGGCACATGCCTATGATCTAAACCATTTGGGAGGCTGAGGCAGGAGGATAAGTTCAAAGGCATCCTGGGCAATTTGGTGAGACTCTGTCTCAAAAATGAATAAAGGAATAAATTGGCTGGGTTAGTTTAGTGCTCCTGAGTTCAGTCCCCAGTACTGAAAAGAAAATGGTAAATACAAAGGTGAACACGGACTTTTGAGTTTATCCTGGTCTTCTCAACTTTTATGAAATTAAATCCAACTTTGACAACAAAGTGCCTTTTTCGTAGAAGTGGTTTATAGACTTCCTTTATAGTCCTTAAGTAGAATAGAGGTCTCAGCCATTATGTATGAAAATATACCTGTCTATCTTTGAGGGAAAGATACACCTATATAATAGCAGATCCCGTTTCTTACACATATGAAGATTGTTTCCTAGAGGCGTTTCTGGGCTTTCCCCAAAAAAAGATGAAACTGGAAACAATTAAAAATAATTTCACTCAATTTTTATCTAATCTCTCCTTTTTTATGGGTTACTGCCTACAAATATATAATTTATTTCTTCTAGCATATTGATAAATTTGGGTCATACCAGAAAACTTAGATTTGCATTTATTCCAATATTGCAAAAGTTGGTGATTTTGGCTTATTTTATATCTCTGGTGATTTTTCAAACCTCAAATATATTAACAGGCAGATTATATTTTCACTATGTGTATATTCTTTATGATGTATATAACTGCCCTCAGTCCCCTTCTCCGTTCACTCTCAGCCCCTCACCCCACAGCAACAAGAGCTTGATTAATTGTTTTAGTTGAGTAAAGCATGGTGCTAATGGACCAGGGTCACAGTTTCAAAACTTGAACAAGCCAGCTAGCATCATTTGATCATAACTCCAGTTTTGCTGGATGCCTTCTGGTAGCTCTGCAAGGAAAAAAGAGGTCAGTTAGCATGAGTGGTTTATTGGGACTGGAAAAGCTTGGTATCTATAAGGAGGCTCAGATTAGAAGACTATAAATAAAGTATTTAGAACCCCCCCCCCTTAGCCATATGGAAACTAAGCCCATATGTTTTCTCATTCTTTTGATAATAAGGATGCTTAGGGTTTTTTTTTAAGTTTTAGTTTTTGTGTGGGGGCTGTTTTTGTTTTTGTGTGTGGCTGTGGTTTTTGTTTTGTTTTTGTTTTTTTGTTTTGTTTTTCAAAACTAGGGATTGAACTCAGGGCCTCTCCCCAGCCCTTTTATATTTTGAGATGAGTTCTCACTAAATTGCCAAAGGTGGGGTCAAACTTGCGATCCTCCTGCCTCAGACTCTGAGAGTGCCGAGATGATAAGCATGCTCCACCATGCCTGACTCTCAGATCAAATTTTTAAATTTTCTTTATGTATAATGCTTTTTAAGAGGTTAAAACAGTTGCTCATAAATTAGCCTGCATTTCAGAAAACAAAAACTGTTAAGTTTGTTCAAAACAAGAAATAGCCTTTGAATTGAAATTGCTATTTGAGAAAAGAATAAAATAATATAATTAACTTGTTAGTTATGAGGGTATGGAGGCTTGGTATTTTCGTTTGCAAATATTACCCTGGTAATTTTTTTCCCCTTTTTGTCGGTACTGGGGATCTAACCCAGGACCTTACACATGATAAACGATTAGTCTGCCCATGAGCCTTCTACCCATGAGCTGCATGCCCAGCCCTGGTAATTCTAATGAAAAATAGATAACTTGATGACAGACTTAATTTTAAAATGGTGACTTTCTGTTCTTATATCTAAATATTTAGAGGTCCTTTATCTCCTAATATGAATTTTCATTTATTAACCAAATTCCACATTGCCTTGAAATTAATTCAGAAGAGGGGAAGAAACATGTCCTGTGCCCAGAAAACAAGAAATCTAGAGAGTTGTGCTCCTAAATACTAATCCCGGGAGCATTCACTGTCTGTCTGTCATGTGTAAATTAAAACTCTTGCTAGGCCCGGGGATTTAGCTCAGTGATTCCAGCACCTCCCTCCCAAGCGGAAGGTCCCGAGTTTGATCCCCGGTACCAAAAAAACAAAACAAAACAAAACAACTCTGCTGCTTTGTTTCTGCCCCTTTTCAGGTATTGTTTGATTGTTTTCCTGAGGTTTATCACCTCAGTCAAGTTCTAAGTTTCTGGGAGACTGGTTTTAAGTGTCTTTCGTCACTACCAGTCTAACTTTTTCTAAAAATTCTACTAAATTCAACACCAAATTAGGGAGAAAGACAGTTACTCCTTAGGCTCTTGTACCGTTACGCCTTGTATGTTGTGTATCTATACTATAGTTTTCTCAAGTAATGTTCTAAGCACAGAAGTATCCAAATGGGGCCAGAATTTAAACTTGAAAATGGTCTTTTAATAGCTTCTTTAAAGTTACACTTAGGTGTGAATTTTGGCACAACAGAGTGACAAACTTAGTGTTAAAAGCAGAGTAAGTTAAGTAGGTGTGGTATAAAATGTAGTTTGTAGAGTATGTTTGCCATTGCTGAAAATCTAGTTTACCTCAGAATCTCCACTTTCCCCAGTATAAGTGCCTGGCCAGCTGTCAGAAATTACATAATTCCTTTATGACTTAGTTGTGTGTGTGTGTTTTTTTTATAAGGTTGCACATTTGAGAGTGTGAAAATAAGATGTTCTGTCTGAAGGCTGCCATGCTTAATCCAAATCTGTTCAATACTGTATTTGCTTCAGTCGCTTGCTGTAGAATATTAACTTGGTAACAGACAGTTGGTTCTGTGGGCATGTAGTAAATCAAATTAATCTATTTGAGTGGGTCCCTTGTCTAACCTTTCATTATCTTTTAAACTGCTGTGAATTTTTGTCATGACTTGAAAACAAAGATAGACAAAAACCTTAAAAGAGATTTGGTTTTTTTCCCCCATGCCAGAATTTGTGAGCATAATCATATTTTGCTTTGTATTTACAGTCATGAACATTTAAGCTGGCAGCTACCAAGAACCAAAAAGTGGTGCATTCTGGTTCTTGTAATTCATCTCTGCTAATACATTATAAAAAGCAAAGATAATTGGGAAAATATTTTATTTGAATGGTTTCTAGAAACAAAGGACTATAATACTTGTACATTATTTTTCATGTTTGCTGTTTCTTTACAGTCTAATGTGCCACAAAATTATTTTTAAGGTATTTGTTTTCTTTAAGAATTGTTTTAAAAGTCTGCTCATCAGATCAGTTTTAGATGTGTTTCAAAATATAACTGATTTTTAAAAGTCCAAGTACTGACTGAGAAGCAAGTGTTTGAACTCTACTGTGGAGAGAAAAGAGGGCATTGCATGACTTCTATATTTCTGTGCCATCCAGTATACTTAAAAATATCAGTTGTGCAGTTCTGCTGTTTAAATGGGAACTGTTAGCCTCCTTGGCCCTAGATGAAAGGGCTGATATTTTAAGTTGATTATTTTAATGTAAATTAATCCATCCTAATTTTTTAAAATTTGGTTGAATGTTTTTCTTGTTAAATAATGTTTAAAAATAAAAACTGGAAGTACTTTACTTAGTCACAGTTGCTTCTTCCACTAAGTTCCTGTATAAAAAACTAATATTTTTGGATTTGGTGGTACACATCTGTGATCCCAGCACTCAGGAGCCTGGGACAGGAGGATCCCTGGGAGTTTGAGGCCAGCCTGGGCTACATAGTGAGTTCAAGCCCAGCCTGAACTACATAGAGAGACCTTGTCTCAAAAAAAAAAAGTCAGTTGTGGCAGTGTGTGCCTGTAATCTCAGCACTTGGGAGGCTGAGGCAGGAGGGTCACTGTGAGTTCGAGGGCAGCCTGAACTCCATAGGGAGACCTTGTCTCAAAAAAAAAAAGGTGAATATTTATTTCAGACTTTTGGGTTAGTATTGAAAGAGTTGACCTCATTTTATTTCAATACAATAGCTCTCATCTGAAATTTTGCTTTCTGTAGTTTTAGTTACCCCAGGGTCCAAAAATATTAAATGGAATTTCCCAGAAATATACAGTTGATAAGTTTTAAATTGCTCTCCCTTCTGAGTAGCCTAATGAAACCCCACACTGTACTGTTCCATGCTGCTCAGGACATAAATTATGCCTTCATCCGGTGTCCCCATGCTGTGTATGCTATCTGCCCTATAGTCACTTCATAGCCCTCTATCTGTGGAGTTACTGCAGTTCTTGTGTTTAACTCTTCAAAGTCCAAGAGTAGTGGTGCTGTAATTTTATCATACCGTTTTATAGTTGTACCTCAGTTCACAAAGTTGATTTTTTCCATGATTCTGGTCACAAACTGAGCTGGACCAGAACTGAATCAATTTCAGTGGTTCAGTGTTGACCCTATAGGGAAATTTGGTTAGGTTCTCATCCAGTTTAGTTTGTGACCTGAATCATGGAGAGAGTTGAGTTCATGAGCCAAGGTACCACTGTAATTGGCTTTTTGTTGTTTGGTTTGGTAGTGGGCATTGAGCCCAGGGGTGCATACTGAGTTCCATCTTCAGCCCTTTCTAAAATTTTTAAATTTTGAACCAGAGTGTCAATAAGTGGCACAGACTGGCCTTGAATTTGAGATCTTCCTGCCTCAGCCTCCTGAGTGCTGGAATTACAAGCATGCAGCACCCTGCCCAGCTAATTTTTCTACTTTTTTTTTTTTTGAGACAGGGTTTCACTTTGTAGTTCAGATTGGCCTTGAACTCTAGCCCAGGCTGACCTTGATCTCACAGCCATCCTGCTTCCAGTGCTGGGATTATACCTGTGGGTGTGGGTGTGTGTATTTTTTTTGTACTGAGGATGGAACTCCAGACCTTGCACTTGCAAGGCAGGTGCGGGAACCACTGAGCTAAATCCCCGGCCCCAGGTATGTATATATTTTGAAAAACACTTGGTAAATTGGGCATCCACTAGCGTGCTGGTGGCTAACCTATGGCACTGGTGCCATGGCGGGTTCTGTTTTTATTAAGAGCTCTTAAGAATTTCACCATCACTGCACTGGAGGGTCTTGGGACAAAATTGTTTTCTAGTTGGGACTACTAGAACATATATTCTAGGTTGGAAAATAATGAAAAATTACCTAGAGAAGCTCATGGGGACCATGAGGGAACCTCCTGTGTATCTCTATGCTGTATAGTTTCATTTATAATAAATATTCAAGGTCATTAAAAGTTCAACAGATTTGATACCCATGAATATGAAAAGGGGTCAGGAAGCTTTGCAAAACTGACTGAGAAGGGCCAGGGATTTAGCTCAGTGGTTTCGCCACCTGCTGCACAAGCACAAGGACCCAAGTTCGATCTCGGTACCAAAAAAAAAACAAAACTGACTGAGAATGCTAACTAGGCAATGAAATACGGCATTTTACCTTAAAAAAAAACCCCACAAAAACTAGAATTGTAGGATGTAAAATAAAGACAAAAAAAAATGCTCTTTCTCGTGCCAAAAGCTTGAAATGGTTTCAATTCCTGAACTGGAAGCTGACCCAGTGAATTGATAATTCTTATTTGGAGACTTCTACCTCATGATTTATTTCACACATGGACCAAAGCAGTTTATTAACTACTGGTATGTGGCAGGGGAAAATTTTTTTTTAATGTAGAAGACTGAAATTAGTCTCATTTTAACTACCATAAATTTCTATGGTTGTCAACTTGTAGGACTCAATATAAAGTAAAAGCGGGGGAAACACCTACAATATGAGGAGTTAAAGTGCCATAAATGATTCTAAAGATAGAGGCAGCTACATGCCTAAAGGGGGGAGGATGCCTACTAGAGCCATCAGATGACAGATGGAAATATTACCTAGGTGAGGTAAAGCAGTCTTCCAGAATGGCTTCTGTGGAAATGATAAAATTGGTCCCAGTTTTCATAGGAGCTTGAGATGTGTGAATTATGTCTGATATTTAAGCCCAAAAGCAAACTTACACATTAAACACTGTATTGCTTTTTTTTTGGTACCAGGGATCAAACTCAGGACCTTGCGCTTGCGAGGCAGGTGCCAGAACCACTGAGCTAAATCTCCAGCCCTAAAACACTTTGGAATAGTTCAATTCCACAGTTATAAGATTTTTTTGTATCAATGATGTGAAGTTTAAAAGTCAAATCAAGAGTTCTTGTTAAATTTTTTTTGTTGGTTTTTTTTTTTTGAGGCAGGTTTTTTGAGACTAGTTCAGGCTGGCCTTCAACTCACTATGTAGGGATCATCTGCCTCAGCCTCCTGAGTGCTGGAATTACAGGCATGCGCCACCACACCTAGCTTCAAGATCCTGTAAATTCATGCATGTTTTGTCTATAAAATTTGAAGAGTTTAACATTTTTGGTTATGCTAATAGCACGTTTCAATATCTCATACTATTGGTCAAGAAATGGCCCAAGTAGTCCCGATACTGTTGGACAACAGTGAGACTAGACATTATTCAGAAGGCCAGTTACAGGGCTTTTCTCCTGAAATCATTTATAAATAATTTTCTTAAATCCTATGCTGAAATCAGGCAAACATTTTTTTTTGGTACTGGGGATCGAACTCAGGACCTTGCACTTGAGAGGCAGGCTGCAGAACCACTGAGCTAAATCCCCGGCCCCCAGGCAAACATTTTTAAAAACAAAAGCCCTAAGAAACGTCTAAGACATATCTGATTATTTGTGTAAGTTCCATAAAGACCAGACTGATATCTCATTTTCCAGTTTATCCTCAATACTTCACACAGGCTGTCACAGGGTAGAAACGCACTGGTGGGTAAAATTACTTGGTAAAATAGATTATAGACAATACAAATTTACATTGTCAAAGGCCAACTTAAACTACAATTTGTCTAAGGATTAAGTAGAATAGATGAAATACAGATAGCATGATATATGAACTGAAATTAGACAGACCTGTGTTCCCTGTGGAGAACCACAAAATTTGTGACTGTATTCTGTGTTAATATATATTCCTGTACATCATTTTAATGGCTTGCAGTGTTTTATGGTTGTACCATACTTTAATCATTCTGCTATTGTACATATTGTAGATTTTCCCCACTTTTTGTCTATTATAATTAGCAATCTTTAAATATATCTGAATATTTGCATATTAATTTCCATAAGATAAAGGCATAAAAATGAAATTATTGGATCAGTATATATGCACATTCTTTTTTTAAATGCACATTATTTAAGGTTTTTGATAAATACATTGCCATATTTCCTTCCAGAAAAGGTAAAATTTTACACCAACCATGTGTAAGAGTGCTTGCTTCACCTTATACTAAACACTGAATTTAATCAAGAAACCGATTTTTAAAAAAATGATCAAATTTGCTTTAAATTATGCAAGAAAATAAAAGTATATAAACCAGCCAGATGTGGTGGCACACATATGTAATCCCAGAACTACAGAGGCCGAGGCAGGAGGATGGCTGAGAATTCAAGGCCACCCTGGACTACATAGCAAGTTCCCTGTCTCAAAAATTTTTAAAAGTAGCTGGAGATTGAGCTAAGTGGTGCCATGCCTGGCCTGTAAGCACAAGGTCCTGAGTTCAATCCCCAGTACCAAAAGAAAAAACAATTTTTTAAAATACATAAATGGTTATTTTTAAAACACTGTTAGACTATATGCAAGTTTAGAAACTCTGAAATATAATCAATCGTTTATTTCTAACCAGTATCTAGTAGAATTCCCAAAAAGAAACAGTAATTCCTTGAGATCCTCTCATTTTTAATTTAATGATAAGGACTTAAAATTTGTTCTGTAATTTTTCCTATTACTTAAACCTAAGAACCTTTTTTTTTTTTAATTTTGAGACAAGGCCTATATTGACTGACCCTGAATTTATGATCCTCCTGGCTCAGCCTCCCAAGTAACTGGCATTACAGGCATGCACTACCATGCCCAGCTCTTGGAGGATTTTAACTGAGGCAACAGTGATCACCACCTATTCTATTTCCAAAGCCTATATGGACTGTGTACTCTCATGACATCTCACAGCATTTAACCCTCTGACTCCGTTTTAGACTGTCCCTCTCTCTCCAATGCAATTTCCATGATTCCTAGTTCTTCTCTTTGTTTTTTTATCATGTTATCTTTCTTTTTTTGTGTTTTTTTTGGTACCGGGGATCGAACTCAGAACCTTGCACTTGCAAGGCAGGCTCATTGCTGCTGAGCTAAATCTCTGGTATATTATCTTTCTTTTTGTGGTCTTTTCCTTCTACAACCAACCCTTAAATACTGATTATCCTTAAGAATCACTCTTTTCTCTCCATACGTTCTCTCAAAATGCTGTAACTGATTATTCAAGTTTTAACCAACATTATTGCTGACTAGATCACAGTTCAATTCGGATCTTCCGAATCATCCCTGCAGGACATTCCCACATGAGTTAAGCCAAGTACAATAGCTTTGGCTTTAATCTTTTTCATCCTCATGTGTTCTTTATCTTAGTGAACAGCACTCTCTACAAATCACCTGTAAGAAAATGAAATTTTGTCTCAAACCCCTTTGCCCTTACAACCTATATCTGATTTGTGGTCCTGTTTTCAAAAATGTGGCATCTGTCACTTCCACTCCAGTTCTACAGTGATTGCCCCAGTTTTAACCTTCATCTTACCAAGATTTTGAAAATGGTTTCTTAAATGCCCTTCCTTTTTCCAGCCTTGCTCCACTCCAAAGACACTGTGGCCAAAGATACCTTCCCTGCTAGACATGGTGGGGTATGCCTGTAATCCAGCACTCTGGAGGCTGTGCCAGGAGAATCACCGTGAGTTCAAGGCCAGCCTGAACTACAGAGAGACCCTGTCTCAAAAAACCAAAACAAGATGGCCAGGGATTTAGCTCAGTGGTGGTGCCACCTGCCTCGAAAGTGCAAGGTCTGGAGTTTGATCCCCTGTACCAAAAAACAAAAACAAAAAACAAAGGCCAGGGATGTAGCTCAGCGGCACAGTGCCTGCCTGGCAAGCGTGAAGCTCTTTTTGATCCCTGGTACCAAAAAACAAAACAAAAGAAAAAAACAGATAACTTCCTAAGATGCAAATAGATCACATGAGAGACAGTGTGTTGAGAAGAAAGGACCAAGCTTTAAACTTAAAATGAATCTAGACTCGGTAGGCATGGTGCTGCATGTGATCCCAGCACTTGGGAGGGTGAGGCACGAGGTTCAAGACCAGCCTGAACTACAGAGAGAACTCAATATGTAGCCCACACTATGTAGCCCACACTGACCTTGAATACTAGGCAATCCTCCTGTCTCAGCCTCCTGAGTGCTGGGATTATAGGTGTGCACCACCATGCCCAGCAGTAAGCCCCTTTTATAAGATGGCATAGTATTTGCATATAACCTGTATATACATTTAATCTCTAGATTACTGATAATACTGTATGCAATGTAAACGTATAAATATTCTACTGTGTTGTTTAGAAAATGAGAAGAGAATGTCTCCGCGTTCAATACAGGTAAGTACGACTTTTTTGTTTCAGTATGTGGTTGGTTGAATCCTTGGGTATGGAACCCATGAATATGAAGGGCCAACTGTATTACAGTCCATTCTCAAAATTTCAGTGAGTCCCCAGTGTTACAGTGATTAAAGTGAAGACCCTTAGTATGGTCCAGTTTCTATTTCTCATTCCTCTCTATCTCTTAGCAGGCACCTTCTCAAGCTCTATATTAACCTAACTGGTTCTGACATCCTGAGCTAACTACATTATGAGGAAAGGCTTGGGTCCTAAAATAAATAGGTGTGTAAGCATCTGAGTTCTGGAGGGCCCCAGTGGGGAAAAACCATGAAATAACTAAGATGCCAGAAGTTTGAGGAACTTTTGTTTTCTCTATAATTATATGAAGTTTACTGAAGAATTTCTCAAGTTAGTTTTGGTGGGGTTGTTTTGTTTTGGTTGGTTTGTTCTGTTTTGTTTTGTTTTGTTTGAAGCAGAGTCTCACTGTGTAGCCCAGGCTAGCCTCAAACTCAAGGCAATCCTCCTGCCTCAGCCTCACAAGGAGTGCGCTACCACGTCCAGCTTCTCAAGTTATTTCTTTCTTTCTTTTTTCTTGGTACCAGGGATCGAACTCCGGACCTTCCACTTGCAAGGCCAGGAGCGGAACCACTGAGCTAAATCCTCGGCCCCTCTCAAGTTATTTTTGCAGGGGGTGGTAGTGGGTACTCTTCTAAAGGTGCCTTATTCCCCTTATGGATAGAGTCATTGATGATCCAAGAGAGACTTGTGTAAGGTCTAAAATCTGTATTGCTAAACAATTCTGAGAAGAGAGCTCTGCCTGTCCTCAGTTATGCGTAGCTGAAAATCATCTCTTATCAGAAGCCACCTTATTGGGGCTCTAGGTGTAAGGGGTGTGCCTCAGTGATGGTATACTTGCTGCATATGTGCGAAGCATCAAAAAAATACCACCTTCTTTTGTTTTCTTCAGAGCACTCACTACTAAAAATTATTTCATTGGGTATTTTCTATTAAAATATAAGCAGGAGCCTCATCTTTCTTTCCCCATTATGCCACTTCTAAGGACAAGCCTGATTAAATTTTCAAAAGTTAAAGCCATACAAGTAGTAAAAACAAGCACACATTCATGTGCACACTTGTGTTTGAGAGCTCAGTGAATAATATACCAGCATATTCACCAGCCACCAAGAGCTCTTTTCATGATGGGGAGCCCTGAAGATTTTAACTTTTCAGAAGCCTGGGGGAATTCATTGTATTTCTGTAGAATGGAAAATAATCATCAGTGGTTACGTCGTGTAAGAAAACTGCACTTGATGAGAATCCAATCTACAGGAATATGTAGAAGTAATGATGCAATTCCTGGCCCACTACTGATATCTGTTCTAAAATCCCAAAGACTAAAAGGCTTCACCTGTTTTTCACTGTCAATTGCCTAAAGCTATAAATAGGTCCAAAGCTCATCTCTGCTTTTAGCAGACAGATCAAATTACCAGGGGCAAAGTGAAATAATAAAATGAGTGTCAGGATAGTTTATAATGTTGCTCAGCCATCCCACAGTCTGTTTCTCTTCCTACCTGCTGTACTAGCCTAGAATCAAGGATCCCAGCCACAATGCCTCTGTTCAAACTTCCAGGTAGGTGTGCAGAAGTTTTCAGAGACCTCAGTTTGTTTCATGTGCAGCCATTCCGTTATCATGTCAGCTTTGGTAGTCCTTTGTTTAGGATCCATAATAGCTTTACTACCTTCCAGAAAGAGAAGGTATTTTCAAGTTTTCATTTTTAGTTTTGGGAAGAAGATACTTTTCTAAAGTTGCTTCTTTCTTGATCCCTTAGAAAGCTAAGATATTTAATATCTGTTATGCCAGGTTAAATAAAATCTTTGGTCTCACAGATCTGAGAAGGGTCCTATACTATATCTTTAGCTATAATATTAGCGAAAAATCATGAGCATGACAGAAATTTTAACCCAGTCTGTGTATTCTCATGGTTCACAAACCAGGTTTATACACAGTATAATTTTAAAAATATTTTCCATCATGAAAGTAGTGCATGTTTCATGAGAAAATTTAAAAATTACACTGAAAAAAATAATAAACACTAACTTAGAAAAGTTGGAAAATAGTAAGAAGAGATCACCACAGTCCCATCATCCAAATACATTCATTCTTAACATTTTAGTGTTTTTTCTTTTCAATCAATTTCCTGTGTAAAATAAGAATCTTTTAAAAACACAGTTGTGTTTGTATTGTACATGTAATTTTATATCCTGATTTGAGCAGGGCAATGTTTTGGCTTAACATTATAACTTAACCATTTTACCATGGTATTTCAAACTCTCCCTAAACACCATTTAAATGGCTGGATAACATTCTAATTTTCTTAACTAATCCCTTAGGTTCTTTACAGTTTTTTGTAAGTATAAATGTGCCCCAACAATATTTTCCATGGGTTTGCTAAAATGTTTCCATGGGATGGCTTCACAGAATGGTTATTTGTTAGGTGTTACCAAATTGTTTACCAGGTAAGCTGCTTTAATTTACCTGCTTCATTAGGTTTTTAAAGTTAATTTTTAATTCATATTTTATAAAATGTACCTTGTGGGCTGGAGATGTGACTCAGTGGTACAGCATATGCTCAGCATGCATGAGGCCTTTGGTTCAATCCCCAGCACCACGAAAAAAAAAAAAAAGGTGGAGGACCTTTTCAAGATTATAGGCATAAATTTGGGGGCTGGGGATTTAGCTCAGTGGTTCTGCTGCCTGCCTCACAAGTGCAAGGACCGGAGTTCGATCCCTGGTACCAAAAAAAAAAAAAAAAGGAAAAAAAAAAAAGATTATAGGCATAAATTTTAAAAGATATACTAGAAATGAAAAGAAAATGGAGACTGTATAATAACCATATTTCCAGTGTTTCCAAAGGCAGAAAACTAGAAAGGCTAGAAGACTGAGGCAGAATAATTCCTTCCACCATGCCTCTTGTGCCAATCCATATCCTTGTCTTCCAAAGCATGGTTAATAGCCACTCTGATTTATGAAAATTGTTCATATATTGTATCTTTTATTTTACTCATGCAGCAGAAGAAAAACGTGAGTATCTTGGACTATTTTTCCTGCCATTTGCCAGATTATCAAAGAAGTGATACTGTTCTTTAATTCTGAAACATGGTTATTTTTCAGCAGTGTTTGGTAAATGATGCTTTTGGAAGTCAACAAAGGTTAACAATGATCCTAGATAGCCCATATCATAGCAAACAAAGTCATGACTTTTCTGGATTACAAAAACTAAAAAACAAAACAAACCACTCTTTTTAAAGAAAATCTCGTAGGGCACTTATTTGAAACTCTGAAATAAATTAGCCAAGGGCATCTCTTGAATGTTGCCTTGGTTAATCCTCAACTCTAGAGAAAAACAAAGTGTGAACAGATACAATAAGAATTTATGTTAGATAAAAGCGTAACTCCAGTTATATGTTTCCCTCCACCTCTACTTACACTTGTCCTTCTCCTGACTGATGGTGCAGGAGGTCTGTCTCTGAGCAACTCTAGGAAATGAGATACTACAGATGGAAGGCCACCAACCTTGTCCTCTTTACACACTAGAAAGTCTGCTGAGAAATAAGCATGTTTTTCTGGATCTGGTCAGTGAAAAGCAAGCATGATATTCCTTTCCTCAAGAGTCTTGCACTTCCCGTGTTAATAATCCCACTTTCTGGCTGAGCGTGATGGTGCACGCCTGTGATCCCAGCACATGGGCGGCTAAGGCAGGAGGATCTCCGTGAGTTCAAGGTCAGCCTGGGCTACATAGTGAGTTCAAGACCAGCCTGAACTACACAATGAGACCCTGTCTCAAAAAAAAAAAATCCCTATTTCTGGATAGTACTGTGCAGTTTTTAAAGGATTTATTGTTAAATCTTCACATCAACTCTCTGAAGAGTTACTATTGTTAGCATTCTTCTTTTATGATGTTGAACACAGAGGCTCCCAGAGGTTACATGGTTTGCCCAAGGCCACACAGCTGTCGTGGTGACTTTTCCTTTTCCTCACTCCTACTGTCTTTCTGCCTCACAGTCCTCCTCGTCCTCCTCCTCCTCTGCTTCCTCTTCCTCCTCACTCTCCTTCTCTTCCTTTCCCTTCTCCTCCTCTCTTTCTTTTGTCTATTCTCTGTCTAAATGCATATGTCTTATCCTCAAGACATCGCCACTTAGACGTTCCATTATCCCTAACAACATGTTTAAAAAGCCAGTAATTTCTGTACGAACCCAAGGGGATTATTTCTCCTTTAATTCCTGAATCAGCTTGTCATTAAATTTTATCTACTCATCTTTTGAAATACCAGTTTCACTCTTCCTTTCCATAATCACCACCATTCCATGAAGTATTTTTAAAAGGCAGAGCTCTTGAATTAAGGATCAAATTTCAGCTGTGGTTGCATAAAGTCAAAGAACTGGTTGTTGATTCAGTGGAAGGAAATATCAGCCACGTAATTTTTGATCATCATGTAAACTGTGTGAGAATAGAATTTCTACTTTTCAACTGTCTGTGGTAGTTTAGGGAGGTACAGTCTTAGTAAAAACAATAATGTTTAAAAGTATAAAACAATGAGTGTGTAGCTCAATGGTAGAGCACTTAACTGGCATGTACAAGGCCCTGGGTTCAATCCCCAGTACCAAAAAAATAAATAAAAATAAAAGAAACAAATGGATATTTGTTGCAGAAGATGAATGCTTGTTCTGGAAGAGCCAGGTATCGAGCAAATAGCATTTTGGTTTCTGGGCAATAGCCTAGGTTTCTGGGCAAATGAGCCCATGCTGCCCTTTTTGAAGTCATCAACAGCATTACCACAGCACAGCATGACAAGCCTATTGCACTGTCACCCTCATTCTCATTATCATAACCAACTGGCCTAATTCTGTTTGCCCTCCTTGGTGCAAAGCTTCTTCTAACTTCTGCTTGCCACTCATCTTGGAGATGCATGTGCCTACTTGTGCTGCTCGGGGATGAATGATGCTATTTCTGGGCATCAGTTGGCAGTGAGCTGGAGCAGTATTCTCAGCCATCAGAGCTACCTATTTAGTGTTCTGTTTGTTCCTTTGTGGCTCATATTGCTTGTCAGAGAACTACTAATCGCATCCAAAGATGCTTTTCAGTTTCAGGAAGTGTTTGGGTTTAGCGAGGCAAACAGATGCTTGCAGTTCCACCAACATAGTGGGCTTTTCTGTTAACACTGCCGTGACACTGCAGGATTTTAAAACTGGCTAACCTGTTAGTGTTGGTGAAGTTACAAATGAATTGCTATCATTTCTAATGTATGCTTCATCCTAATACTAAGTCATATCATTTATCTTTCCTTAATGGCTCAAAGTTAACTCCAAATATAAAATGTGTGTTTGACCACAGCTACCAAATTCCATTACTCAATTAAATTTGCTGTTTTATTTTTCTTAAAGCATGTCCACATACTTTATCTCACTCAGTGTCATAATAGCCTTGTGAGCGAGGTTGGGTAGACCTTAGCATCCCCAGTTTACAGATAAGGAAGCTGAAAAAGAGAAAAGTGAAAGAGCTGGTAAGTGCAGAGCAGGGTTTGAAGTCACTACACCCACTTAAGTCAGAATGTGAAATGCAGCCTTTGGGGGCCTGTGTAGACACTGATGCACAGAGGAATCTTCTCTGTATGCCCTGTGCTCTGCCACCCTGCAGGGAATGTTTCTGTCTCCTATGATTGCCCCCAGATAGCTGGCTGTTAGCCATTTTTATTGTTGCTTACGAGCTCTTGTCCAGGAATGCCAAGAGGCCTTAAGAAGTATTACAGGTGACAACTAGTCAGCTGTAACTACAGTGGAACTTAACAGAAAAGCAGATACTTGATGACCTTCGCTACCCTGTGTGATGAGACTGGCTCTCTTATATCCTGAGGGTCTTGGTCACTGCCAGGCTAAGGGTGACCCTGTGCCATTTTAAGAATGGGAAAAGTAGGCTGAGGCAAGAGGATCACCATGAATTTCAGGCCAGCCTGGGCTACCAAGTGAGACTCTGTTAAAAAAAAAAAAAAAAGAGAGAGAGGAAGAAAAATAAGAATGGGAAAATTAAGGCATGTAAAAGTAAATTGGCCTTCCAATGGTCATTAATTACGGAAGGCTCATGTCCACAAGAAGTGGGACTTCCAACACGTGGTAATAAATTTTAGTGGCTCCCATCCTCCACATAACAGTATACTGTATCAAGTTGTCAGGATTTGAATAAGGTGAGGTTTAATATGTGAGAGAAACATACTATCAGTCTTCAGAAGAAAAAAGGCCCTAGAGAATACATTTATTTCTCAGAAGTACTGATTTCCTTTTTTGGGGTGGGTGGGTACCAGGGTCAAACTCGGGTCCTTGCGCTTGTGCAGCAGGCAGTGAAATCACTGAGCTAAATCCCTGGCCCAAATGTCTGTTAGAAGTATGGATTTCCTAGTGATCACTGGGATCACTGGTTCTCCTTAGGAAAAAACAAATAAACAAGCAAAAACAAAAATCCAAGGACCAATAACTACATCCAAAAGCATCAGAAAGTCTTCCAGTCTAGGGCTGGGGCTTAAGCTCAGTGGTTCCACCACCTGCCTCACAAGTGCAAAGACCCAAGTCTACAAAAAAAAAAAAAAAGTCTTCCAGTCTAGCAGGAAGGACTGTTGCATGGTTACTATGAAATCAAACTCAGCCTTGCCACAACTAGGTGATCTTAAGTTAAGTATGGTTCTACAAGAGCCCAAACTTTCTGTAGGGCCCTCCAGAAATGAGCTATGAGACTCTGACCCATGTTTCTGAATGCAGATTTCAAAGCTACACACAGAAAAATCCACTAACATAAGAGCAGGCACCAAGCTCCAGTGTTTCAGCTGGCTGGGGAGCAGAGCAGCTGTGTACCCACCACAGTGTTTACCATTATGCCTGACGCTAGCAGAAACTCAGATGAATTTTGGAAAAGGGCTTGGATACTAATGTGTGAACACTTCTTTCAGAAGTTGATGATGCAATGCGCAGCTTTGCTAAAAGAGTGTTTGCCTCTGAAGTCAAAGATGAGGGAGGCCGTCATGAAATTTCCCCCTTTGATGTGGATGAGATCTGTCCAATTTCTTTTCACGAGATGCAAGCACATATATTCCAGAAGGAAATTCTCTCCATTTCCACCGACGGCCAGAGGTGAGTGGTGTAAGGGGAATTCTGACTGTGAGTCAGCACACAAGGAGGGGAGAAATGTCAGGGCAGATATGGTTCAGTCTGTCTGAATGATGGTCCAATTCCAGGGAAGAACTCTGCCAGGTTTAGAGATTCTTTTTTTTTAATCCCCTATATTATGTACCCTAAGGTAAGATACTGGTGATAGAAAAAGAAGAAAGCAGTGGGCCCCTACTCTCATGCACATTTCTCAAAATTAAAAAGCCACCCTCTCCACCCTATCCTCTTGAGCTACCTATGTAATTGTTCCAAGCCAGTGTGGGCCCACAGATGCTGTGAACATGCTCAACTGATACACAATTGTCATATAAACTAGAATTCAAGATCTCTCGCTCTTAGACTCTGCTTCTAGCCAAACCTAGTGTTGTATTTCCTTACATGAACACTGTCCTCCAGCCACAGCCTGCAGGCTTCTTGGCTTTAGAGATGCAGCTCTCCATTTCTGCCCTCATGCCCTGCCCCATGATGCATACTTACTCCCTCCCCCAAGTAATCTGCAGAGAGCCCTCTTAACCAAGTCAATTTTCCTATATTTGAACTACTGTAGGATTCACTGTCACTATATTTTAGTCCTCAAACTTAAACCATTAACCTGGAATTCCTTCCTTTCAGCCCTCCCCGTATCCCATCAGCCACATCCAGATTTATATTTGTAAAGAAACAACAACAAATTACCTCCTCTGGGATCCCCCGAGGGACCTAACTTAGGCCTTATGTCAAAGTAGAAGCTCAATAAATATTTGTTGTTTTGAAGAAATAATATTGATTAAGCAACTGATGGGCTCCAGGTACTACGCCAGGCATTTTATATATATGAAATCTCACAGAAATCTTATGAGGTAGCCATTATTAAACCATTTTTTTCAGATAGGGAGATGAAAGCTCACAAAATGTAAGGACCATGACAAAATGACACAGATAGTAACTGACACAACTTATGCTATTTACGGCCCCCAGACTGCCTGTTTTGCTGGGAGTGGACTGCCTGGGAAGAATGGTGGCATGCTAAAGACCTTCTAGTATGCTCCCCAAGGTCCACTCTTCTAAGGTATACTCAGAAAAACAGAACGCTGTCAGGGTATTCAGGATATCTTTCTTCTCGCACTATGCTTGTATCCTATTTCTGACACCCAACCCACATTTTATTTTTTTTATTTTTTGGTACCAGGGATTGAACTCAGGACCTTGCGCTTACGGGACCAGCGTCAGAAACACTAAGCTAAATCCCTTACCCCCACATTTTAATTTTTCACTTTTTGTCCTCAAATGATATGGTGAAACATCCATCTATTATAATGAAACTCCCAACTTAGACAAGCCTAAGTGCTCTTACTTTTTAATTTCAAACCCAGAAAAAGGCGTTTCCAAGGACGGAAGACTGTGAATCTGTCAATTCCACTGAGTGAAACGTCTTCCACCAAACTGTCCCATATTGATGAATGCATTTCTTCGTCTCCAACCTACGAGACCGTGCCTGATTTTCAGAGAGTGCAGATCACTGGTGACTATGCCTCTGGGGTGAGTTGTTCTTGTCACCACACGTAGCTGCTGGGAAGCTACTCAGCTTGACACGTCTGGGTTCTTCCCTTCCTTCTTTCCTCATCTGTCCTTCTTATACTTCTCTGTTGCATTTTAATACAAGTACAGTGTGTCTTATGTTTCTGTATTGGTTTTATCATCCCACACAATTTCTCCTCTTTCTCCTCCCCCCAGCCCCCATAGAGACTAAGTAGTAGAATGCAATGTATGTTCCCCAGGACTCACTGTGCAGATTTTGGCAACGGGGCTACAGAGAGGAGCAAAGGGAGGTGTCCATTCTCATTGGTGTCGTCATGAAACAGGAAAGGGAGGCTTGGGGAGTCACAGGGGCTCACAGGAAAAGATGGACCCACGGGAGACCTAGAATAGAGAGAAGAGCAACAGCATAAACCGAAGATATGAGATCGGTAAAAAGAAAGGTAGAAGAGAACAAAACAAGAGGAGGAGAGAGAGGTTAGCAAATTCCAATTTTCTAGAATATTGTTATTTCACCAGCTGACCTCTCCAATTTCATTGCAGATGCTTACACAGTATATTGTAGTTGGAACAGGCTCCAGTAGATCACAGGGATAGTAAACTCATGTTCCTAACAACTTGACCAGCTTCTCCTATCCAGAGCAGATGGTCAGTTAATAAATCTCTGCCATGTATACTTGCAGTGTCAGCATGATATTGGTGAAACTGTTCTTTAGTCATCAGTCTCTACTCCAAATATAGATTTAACGACTAGGTCCTGAACCCTGTTCTCATGTAACTGACCTGGTCAGAGTAAGTCCTAGGATATTTATAAGTGCCAGAACAATGAAATGCAAACCATTCTTGTTTATTATTATTATTGTTGTTGTTGTTGTTGTTATTATTTCGTATAATAAGATGGGTGCTCTGGAAATGGCAGGTTTTTTTAAAGGGCAGTTTTATATACTAAATAATTTAAAGGAAATTTTTAATATTAGTAAATACATGGGAAACAGTTTGTAGAACTCAAGGGTTCCAAAGAATATAAAACTTAGGGGACAAACTTGATACCTATGTACTTAGAAATGAAAATACGGACAAGAAAGGATATGGGCTATTGTGTCTCTTCACAGTAGCCCATTTTAAGCTATAAGCTATGTTTTTTGTTTTTTGTTTTGGTTTTTTGAGACAGGGTCTTGCTTTGTGGCCCAGGCTGGCCTTGAACTCACGGTGATCCTCCTGCCTCAGCCTCCCAAGTGCTGGGATTATAGGCATGCACTACCATGCCTGGCCATAAGGTATATTTTTATTGTTATTTTTTCTCCTTTTTTCCTACTTTTACTTGGCCCAAGTTCACTCTGCAGAGCCTGTTTTTTTTCCCCTACCTTTAATAAATGTGAAACTTTGCCACTGTTAAAAAAAGAAAGAAGGAAAGAAAGAAAGAAAGAGAGAGAGAGAGAGAGAGAAGGAAGGAAGGAAGGAAGAAAGAAAATAAAGGTACACAGACCTCAGGAGTAGCTGCTCCTCCTTTGAGAGCTGAAGGGTACCTGAAATGTTGGCCTGGAGCCTTGTAAAATGAGTAGGTTGCTGTACCTGTTGGGTGAATAAAGCAGATAGAGACACTTCAGCTGGCTGTGGTCTCTACCCAAACCAATCTGTGTCCTTGGAACGTAAACAGAGAGTTCAAGGGGAAACAGGCTAACATCCCAGAGCCTTTAATCCCTGATACACAATTGATCCAGTGTAATCAGTCCTCACTGAGCAGGCCCTCCATGCTTGGTACCCGGTACCAAGTGCTGAGGACACAAAGGTGAACAGGACTCAGATCGTGTTCTGGAGAGGCTGACAGACTGGTGGCCATGGAGCCAGCATGCCACAGACTTTGCACCCATAACAGATTTCTTCGGCCAAGGTAGGCAGGTCTTTATAAAAATAGTTAAAGTAGCCAGGCCTGGTGGCCCATGCCTGTTATCCCAGCACTCTGGGAGGCTAAGGCAGCTGGGCAGTTTAGTGACTAGAAGACTCTGGCTGAAAATTTAAAAAGGAATGAGGATGTAGATTAGTGTGAAGGCCCTGGATCTAATCCTCAGTTCTAGGGGGAAAAATTAAACTAATGAGAATCGATTTCTGTATCCCAAACCATTGAGAACAAGCTTATGGTCTTGAGCTATTATTAACACAGCCTGGACATTGTGTCTTTCTACAGTTTCATTGGTTTTAATTAACTGAGGACTCTAGGTTTTTTTCTTTTTTTGTTTTCTTTTGTTTTGTTTTTTGACTCCTTTTTTTTTTTTTTTTTTTGTACAAGGGATCAAACTCGGGACCTTGAACTTGCAAGGCAAGTGGCGACACCACTGAGCTAAATCCCCGGCTTATTTTGTTTTTTGAGATAAGGTCTCGCTATGTAGTTCAGACTGGTCTTGAACTCACTGTGTAGCCCAGGCTGGCCTCAAACTTGTGGTGAGCCTCCTGTCTCAGCTTCCCAAGTGCTGGAATTACAGGCATGTGCCATTCGCCATGCTCAGCTCTCTAGATTTCTTTTGAAGTCAGGACTGAGGCAATCACAATTTCTTCTAGACCATTCCAATCTTAATTACTAATATCTGTAAAACTCACATGCCACACAATAACATATAGTTTACAGAATGGCTAGGAGCTAGACATAGTAGTATACACTTGTAATCCCAGCTATTCTGGAGGCAGAGGCAGGAGGATCACAAGTTCAAGGGAAGCTTGGATAATTTAGTGAGACCCCATCTCAAAATAAAAAAGGGCTGAGGGGCCAGAGATTTAGCTCAGTGGTTCCGGCTCCTGCCTCAAAAGGACAAGGTCCTGAGTTCAATCCCTGGTACCAAAAAAAAAAAAAAAAAAAAAATGGACTGGTGTTGTAGTTCAGTGGTAGAGCATTCCTGAATTCAATCCTTAGTGCCTTAAAATAAAATAGAGGGGCTGGGGATTTAGCTCAGTGGTTCTGCCGCCTGCCTCGAAAGTGCAAGGATCTGAGTTCAATCCCTGGTACCAAAATAAATAAATTTAAAAAATAAAATAAAATAGAAATGAAATGCTAAGAGAGGTGTAAATGAGGCTTGCCTCAGAATTCAAAGAAGCTGAGTTGAAAGCAGACGAAAAGCTAATACAAATGTCAAAGAGTCACCTCGGGTGACCAGATAAGATTAAGAACCTAGGAGCCTGGGATGTAGCTCAGTGCACAGCTCTTACCAGTCAATCATGAAGTCCTGAGTTGGATCCCCAGTACCAAACAAACTAAAACAAAACAAAAGATGAAGAACCTGGGTCAAGCTGATCAAGGCCTGGAGCTTGCTGAAGTGCAGAACATGTTCAAAGCCCACCTCTAGGCCATAGGCAGTTTTCGGTTGGCCTTGTCAAGCAGGGAGATCCAGCTGAGCTGACTCTAGGGGGTGGCCAAAGTTCACGGCCTGTTGACCTCATAATGTGTCCACCGGATGGTCTGATACAATGATGGGTTGGGGCCAGGTGTGGTGGCGCATGCCTGTAGTCCCAGCACTAAGGAGGCTGAAGCAGGAGGATCACCATGAGTTTGAGGCCGCCACCCTGGGCTGCACAGTGAGACCCTGTCTCAAAAATAAAATTTTAAAAAAGATGAGGTGATAGGTCCGTGTGTGTTGCAGTATCCAGTGTTAGCTGCCCTCTCCCTTTGGAATGTGCGGGTGAGGGGTTTCATCACTCACTGATCAGTGCGTCTGAGACGCTCCCAGGGCTGCTTTCTCTCGCACAGCCTTGATATATCCATCAACTGCCAGTATGCCCCCAATTTAGTCTGGTAAATGTGTAGACAGTACTTTTTTATTAGCACGATTAATTTATCAGTTTGTGTCTTAATAGTTGTGCTGGGCAGCTGGGGCTGTTCTTCCTGCTAAGTTCCTCGTGTACAGCATCTGGTGGTTTTCTATTTGCACAGATGCATTACTGCGTCATTCTGCCTGAACCCTGGGACTCAGACGGAGCAGATTGCTCCTTTATAGAATCGAATCACTCGGGGCAAGGCGCTGCCTCCAAGCCACTGTTCTGTACAACGTGGCGTGACTCAGAGTGGAGCACAGCCTGCTCACCGCACTTAAGTTGATCCCAGAGGAAAAAAGTCTTTGTGCTATGACAATGAGCATTCACTGATTTCAGATACAGCTGCTTGGGCTGGTCTGGTCCAGCCAGGAGTAGGGAGTGGAGGGCAGGAGAGATAGATACCCCAGTTTGGGAAATTTCTGGCAGTTCTAATAAAACTTTACTCAAGCTATTTTTAGCCAGAGATAAACTTCTCTTTTAAAATCATCCAAAAGCTGGTTGTGGTGGTGCATACCACTAATCCCAGCCACTTGACAGGGTCACAAGTCCAAGGCCAACCAGGGCAATTAGGAAGACCTTGTCTCAAAATAAAATAAAAAAGGCACACAGCTCAGCAATAGGCAGCCCTGGGTGCAGCCCCCCGTTACAACACACACACACACACACACACTCACACACACTCACACACACACAAATGTTGTTTCACAGGGTGATGTTCAGATCTATCCAGAGCTTTCAAAGGCAGAGGAATTTGTGGCACTGTATTCATCCCAAAATATTTTCCTCACTGACCAACAAGTGGTTTGAATTCTCATAATTATAATCACATTGTCTTCCAGTTAAGACTTTGTTTTCAGAAGTCTTTTCTTTAAATGTCCAAATGTTTTGCCAGACGTAGTGATGCATGCCTGTAATTCTAGCACTCAGAAGGCTGAGGCAGGAGGATCACTGAGAGTTCAAGGCCAACCTGAACTACATAGTGAGGTCCTGTCTCAACCTCCTTGCCCCAAATATGTCCAAATGTTACATAGAAGGAAGAAAGTATATACCAGTGGTGGCAAACCTATGGCATGCATGTCACAGCAGGCTGTTTGTATCATTGAAAGCTCTAGAAAGGTTCTCCATCACGGGTATATACCATATTAGAATGGGTTCTTCTACTAATATTTGCTGGATAATCACTGCTATGTAGTAAAAACCAAATCCAAAACAGAGGGCCTAGAGGTAATAGCTCAGTGGCAGAGTGCTTGCATAGCACAGGCAGGGCCCTGGGTTTGATCTCCAGTAAAGCAACAAAGAGAAAGGAATGCAAGACTATAAAAGAAAGATTCTCAGGGCAGGTGAGTTACAGTAGAGAGGTAAGAATTGGAAAAGGCCACAACCTGCTCCTGGAGGGAGGCCCAGGGCCCAAGTCTGCTAGGAAGCAGCCAGGGAGGCCGGTGAAGCTCAGCGTGAGCTGTAACACAGGGGCACTGGGAGATTTTCCCAGTATTGGCTTTGATATTCTGACATTTTCTTGGCAGGTAACAGTTGAAGATTTTGAAGTGGTTTGTACAGGTCTGTATCGGGCATTATGTATCCGGGAAAAATACATGCAGAAGTCATTTCAGAGGTTCCCTAAAACCCCCTCCAAGTACTTGCGGAACATTGATGGCCAAGCATGGGTAGCAAATGAGAACTTCTATCCAGGTAACTTATTCCCTTATAAAATGTATAGAGTGTATCTTTTGGTTTAACAACTAAATAATAAATTTAAAACATGCCCCTAGATTATAAGTAACATCACAGTCATTCTGGGCTCTGTTCTCCCTGCTGGACTGTGATTCCACGCTGTACAGTGTCTCACTAAACTTCTCTCTTCACCACCCCTAAACCCAGGTTAGTCTCGTATTTTTCCTTGTTTCAATTGTTGTGGTAGCTTCCTACTTACTCTGCTACATTTCTGTATCACCCCTTTTTTGTTTCATCCTCACTTTGTGGCCAATTACTAAAACACAGGCCCAAGGATTTAGCTCAGTGGCACCACGCCTGCCTCAAAAACACAAGTTCCTGAGTTCGATCCCCGATACCAAAAAAGAAAAAGAAGAAGAAGAAGAGAAAAAAACCCACAGATCTGAGCGCACCATTTTCCTGACAAAAATCTTTAGCCATTCCATTACTTCCAAATTGAGTCTGGTCTTAGTCTGGCATTCAGGACCACCATCTGGCCTCCTAACTGCATTTTATTTGTTTTTTTGGACTTGCACACTCAGTTATTTCCAAAATAACCTCCCCCACTGCTCTCTTTGCTATGGTTGGAATTAGTTCCTGATCACATTATAGTTCAGTGCTTTCCTGCTCTTGTGCTGTTGTTAGGCTGTTCCCTGTCCCTGTCCTGAGATTGCCCTTCTCCTGGCTATTCACCCTGTGTTCCATGTCTAGATCCATCCTAATACTTCAAAGCACAGGCCAAATACTATCATTTCTTGCCTGCCTCTGACTTCTGCATAAAAGTAAACTGCTAGGGCTGGGGATTTAGCTCAGTGGCACCGCACCTGACTCACAAGCACAAGGTCCTGAGTTCAATCCCTAGTACTGCAAAAAAAAAAAAAGTAAACTGTAAGCCGGGCCAGTAGTGCATGCCTGTAATCCCAGCACTGTGGGAGACTGAGGCAGAAGAATAACATTCAAGTCCCATCTGAACAATTTAGTGAGAACTTGTCTGAAAATAAAAACATGCAAAAGGGGCTGTGGATGTAGCTCAGTAATAAAGCACCCCTGGGTTTGATCCTAGTAACACACACACACACACACACACACACACACACTGTAAACTATATGTGACTTTTCACAGCATTTTATTTGCATACCTCAGTTTTTACTTTCTGTTTTGTATAAAGTGTGTTTTTCTTTTTGGTACTGGGGATCGAACTTGGGACCTTGCGCTTGAGAGGCAGGCAGCGGAACCACTAAAGCATGTTTTAATAGTCATATTTTAATGATTTCTAGTGTATAACTATCACAATTGATTTAACCAATTCCTATTTTTAGGTCTTCAAATTCTTTTAAAAATATTTCCAATACTTACCTGGCAGGGGAGATACCATGATCACGAAGGTGGTTTTCCCAGGGCAAGGCTTATCCATTGCACTCCAGATGTGCTGACCCCTGAGATTTCCCCAAATGTGGGAAACTCGACTGCATAATTTGTGGTAGTGGGGGACTGCGTTCGCGATCTCCCCTGGCAAAAAAAAAAAAAAAGAGAGAGAAACATTTCCAGGGGCTGGGGATTTAGCTCAGTGGTTCCACCACCTGCCTCGCAAGCACAAGGATCCAAGTTTGAACCCCGGAACAAAAAAAAACCATTTCCAACAAGGCTACAATAAAGCCAGGTACTATGGTGCATGCCTGTAATCCCAGAACTTGGGAGGCTGAGGCAGGAGGATTTCTGCAAGTTCAAGGCCAGCCTGGACTACATAGTGAGTTCAAGACCAGCCTGAACTACATTGGAAGATCCTGTCTCAAAAAACCCAAAAAACCAACCAAACAAACAAACAACCCCCCCAAAGGCTATAATAAACAGCTTTATGTACATTTCTTTATGAAATTGTTTTACATCTTTAGGATTATACTCTTAGAACTGAAATTTCTGGGAAGGTTAATACTTTAGATTTTTGAACTTCCAACTTATCATCTAGGTAAAGATCTCAGGTTCCACTATCTTCTCTCTGTAATTTCTTTGAATATTAAAATCATATTAAACATGTGTCCACACAAGCCTTTAATCCCAGCACTAGGGAGGCTGAAGCAGGAGGATCACCAAGAGTTCAAGACCAGCCTGGGCTACATAAGAGTTCAAGGCCAGCCTGAACTACAGGGTGAGACCTTGTCTCAAAAAAAAAAATGTATCCAGTTTGGTGACTTATAAAATTGATTTACCACCCTATATAATATTGACACATAGGATGTTTGTCTTGCCTTTGTTTCTTCTAAATTACACTTTTTCTAATATGTTTAAGTGTAAGAACTAGAAAATTAATATTTGATATAACAATGTATTATACCCCTTCTTTCATGGTCCTTATTTCCCAATTTTGAGTAGGAAATGTGCAAACATTTTTCTTTCTATATCATTTTTCTCACTCCAGTGGCTTTAGATACCACTTGCAAACACGAGTGGTTCTTATGCCTTGGCAGGTAGTAAGTGACAAGGCAGTAAAGAGGCTCGAGTGCGAGGTGAAAGGCTGGGAATGTAGTCAGCAGTTAGCACTTGTCTAGCGTGCACAAGGCACTGAGTTCAGCCTCAGTGAGAGAGAGAAAGAGAGGGAGAGAGAGAGAGGTCACACTTGTTGAAGTAAAGGGATGCGTGCTGAAAAGTTCTGACACTGGGAACTGTGTTCTTGACCTATTTAGGCTGAAATTGTCAGTAGAGCAAATAAAGAAACATTTACCCACTTAATCCTTTGTCAATTCCTTCAGCAGAAATTTTATATGCTTTAAAAGATGGCAAATGAGGGCTGGGGATGTAGCTCAGTGGTTCCGCGGCCTGCCTCGAAAGGGAAAGGACCTGAGTTCAATTGCCGGTACAAAAAATAAAAATAAAAAAACAAAGATGGGGAATGTAATTGTAATGAAATTATAATTCTTGGTATAAAGTTTTGCATCTGCCTTTATATTAAAACCATTACAGGTAGAGCACAGAGGATATTTAGAGAGGCGAAACTACTCTGCGTGATACTGTGGGAAGACCCTTGTCATTATACATTGTCAAAACCCATAGGATGTACAAAAGTCAAGACTTAATCCTAATGTAAATAATGGGCTTTGAATAATTATGATGAGTCAATGTAGGTTCATCAATTATAAGAAATACACCTGAGCAGGTGATGTAGCTCAGCTGCGCAGCACCTGCCAGGCAAGCACGAGCCCCAGAGTTCGATTCCCGGTACCAAAAAAGAAAAAAGACTACAAGAAATAAGAAATACACCACTCTGATACAGGATGCCAGTAGTGGAGGTTGCTGCATATGTGAGGGGACACATGGAAAGGGGACTTTCTGTTAAATTGAAACTGTTCTGTGGGCCAGGGATGGAGCTCAGTGATTCAGCACCTGCCTGGCAAGCCCAAGGTCCCGAATTTGATTCCCAATACCAAGAAAAAAGGAAAACTGTTCTAGTCTACTTAAGATGCATCCATTTTTTACAAATGACTCAGATTTATCTTTTTTTTTTTTTAACTTCATTCCTTTTTTATTTTTTTGATATCAGGGATCGAACTCAGGTCCTTGTGCTTGCTCAGCAAGCGGCGAAACCACTGAGCTAAATTCCCGGCCCTGATTTATCTTTCTTTATGGCTGGGTTGTACCCCACACTTTCTTTTTTTTTTTTTTTAAGGAAAAAAAATGTTTTGAGACAGTCTGGCTGTGTAGTGCCTTCAACTCATTATATAGTGCAGGCTGGCCTCAGACTCACAGTGATCCTCCTGCCTCAGCCTCTCAAGTGCTAGAATTACAGACATGAGCCACCACATCCAGCTGAATACCACATTTTCTTTATCCAGTCATCTGTTGATGGGCATCTAGGCTGTTTCCAAGATTTAGCTTTTGTGGGTTGTGCTGCTATAAACATGAGTGTGCTTGGCTCATGGTAATATGTCATCTTTAATTCTTTGGGAGGATACCCAGAAGAGGCATAACTAGGTCACATGTAATTTCTACTTTTAGGTTTTCAAAATAAATCAGACACAGAAGGACAAATATTGCATGATTTCTCATATAAGATCTGAAGGTATAAATAATTTAAAGAGCAAAATAAAAGATGATAGTGAACAGGAAGGTAGACTTTGTGAAGATGGGAAAAGAGGATTTAGGGATGGGGAGATAGAAGAGAGGGGAGAGAGGAAGAGTAAGTAAAACAGGATTAGGGCTGGGGACGTAGCTCACCAGTGCCAAGGTCCTGAGTTTGAGTCTTGGTGCAAAAAAAATATTTTAATACAAAAAAGGATTAAAATGCTGTATGTATAGATACCAATTCTCCACAATGTACTCATTTATTGCAAACATGTGCTGATAAAAAAAATAAGGACAAAATATAAATTAAATCCCAGCACTTGGGAGGCTGAGGCAGGGCATTCACCATAATTTTGAGATAACCTAGGCTACATAGTGAATTCAAGGCCATTTGAACTACATAGTAAGACCCTGTCTCAAAAAATAAAAACAAAAACAAAAAATTAAAAGTCTGTTTAAGAAAATACTCTAAGACTAATAAAAGAGATTGGTTTAAATGACATAAAAATGCAAATTCTATTTTAACTAATTTTGCCTTTGCTTTTTAAAAATTTCAAAAAATTTTTTTTCTGGTACTGGGAATCAAACTCAGGACCTTGTGCTTGCCAGGCAGACATGGCACCACTGAGCTACATCCTGGGCCCCTGCCTTTGCTTTTATGCAGTTGTTTATTTGTTTTGACAAGAGTTCTTACTATATTTCCCAGGCTGGTCTTGAACCCCTGGGCTCAAGAGATCTGCCTATTTCAGCCTCCTAGGTAACTGAGAGTATAGGTGTGGGCCAGCACACACTCAGCTCTATGCAATTATTTAACAGACTAATAAGATGCTCTAAAAAAGCCAGGTGCAGCTGGGTGTGGTGGCGCACACCTGTAATGCCAGCACTCGGGAGGCTGGGACAGGAGAATTGCCAGAAGTTTGAGGCCAGCCTGGGCTACACAGTGAATTCAAGACCAGTCTGAGCTATATAGCAAGACTCAGTCTCAAAAAAAAAAAAAAAGCCTGATGCTGTGGTGCACACCTGAAATCCCAGCATTTTGGGAGACTGAGGCAGGAGGATCACAAGTTCAAGTCCTGCCTGGGAAGCTTAGTGAGACCCTGTCTCAAATAAAAAGAGGCTGAGGATGAAGCTCAGGGTCAAAACACCCTTGAGTTTGATCCCCAGTACCACACACACACAGACAGACACACACACACTCACAGACTCCTCTTAAACAAAAAGCCTGTGATAACCAACTTCAGTAAAAAAAATGATGTGTTAGTGGCATATCACTTAGTTCATGTAAACAGCACATGAAAATAATTTGAAAATCATTCTTTTTTTTTTTTTTTCTCCTGGTACTGGGAATCGAGCTCAGGACCTTGTGCTTGCCAGGCAGGTGTGGCACCACTGAGCTACATCCCCGACTGCAAATCATTCTTATATGAGACAAAATATAATTTGTTTTGTTTTATTTTTTTGCTGTTTTGAGATAGGGTCTCATTTTATACTCCATGCTGGCCCCAAACTCTCCGTCCTTCTGCCTTGGGCTCCCAAGCACAGAGATTATAGGCATGTGTCGCCACAGCTAGCTTAAAATAGTATTGCTACAGTTATTTTATACTCTGAATTTAGTTTCTTGTGAAAAATTAATATGAAATAAACTTTACTTAATAGATAAATAAAATAAAGTTGTGCAATCACAGCTTATGAAGTATAAAATGCCAAATGAACGAGCTTTTGCAGTATTTCATATTTCAGTTATTTTTACATGATCATTCATCTAATGTGCTGATATATGACTCTGTGTTTTGTTGAAAAAGTCTTTACCCCTCCTCCGAAGAAGGGAGAAGACCCTTTCAGAGCAGATAACCTTCCTGAAAACCTGGGCTATCACCTCCAGATGAAGGACGGCGTAGTTCACATCTATCCTAATGAAGCAGCTGCCAGCAAAGATGAGCCCAAGGCATATCCTTACCCAAATCTGGACGCCTTCTTAGATGATATGAATTTTTTGCTTGCTCTAATTGCCCAAGGACCTGTGTAAGTGTTTCAGGAGAGCTAAACAACAACCAGTACTACTACTGTTAGTAAGAATAAATATTAAACGGTCACTATGTTCATACTATACTACACCCTTCATGTATACATTGTTTCTGTTACTTTTTACAATTGCTTGATGAAGTATTTTCATAATTACAGTTTTATGAGATGAAACTTTGGCAAGTTAAGTAATTTGCCCAAAGTCACACAGCCGGTTGAACCAGGATCCAAGCCTAAATCTGCTGACTCAAACCAGAGCCCTTAACTTTGAACCATGCTGCCTCACTGATTTTTTTCCACTAATTTCTTTTAAATGCCATCCCAAGACCTTCTTACTATTATACCCAACTTTGATGAAAAATTAGGGGTCAATGCTTTTCAGTGAGGTTAACTGCAGAAGTACCTGAAACATTTGTGCTAATAATTGTTTCCTGTGGGTGCTAAGGGTCCTGACGGTTTTGCAATTACATTTGTTTTCCTTAAGTGTGTGTAGTTTTTTAGAATTATTTCATTTTATTTTTCACAGAAAGACCTACACTCACCGGCGCCTGAAGTTCCTCTCCTCCAAGTTTCAGGTCCATGAGATGCTCAACGAGATGGATGAGCTAAAGGAGCTGAAGAACAACCCCCACCGAGATTTTTATAACTGCAGAAAGGTAAATGTTTTTTGCTTCTCAGAGGTAATTTCTCATGAAAAACATTAATCCAGTGATTTCTTCAGAAGGACAAGAACAGTGCTTTCTGATTAGTCTAAAATTTCTGCAGGTTTAGTGGATTTTAGTTAAAGCAGAAAGATTAAAAATGTCACTTCTATTGTTTTCCCCATGGAAAGATTTATCATATTCTAGACATAAAAAATTATAATCATCAGGCTTGAGGGTAGCTCAGTGTAGAGTGCTTTCCTAATATATGCAAAGCCCTGAGTTCAATCTCTAGCGCTTCCAAAAAAATTTTAATTACCATCATCAATAACAACAACAAAAATAAAACCTCAAGAATGACTATTCTAGGAATTAGAAGACCTTTGTTCTAGTTTTTTTCCATTTGCTTCTTTGTTTTCCTCAGTACCGGGGATCAAACTCAGGACCTTGCACTTGCGAGGCAGGTGTGGTGTCACTGAGCTATATCTCCAACCCTCCTTCTGCTTCTTGACTATAAAACTTCAGGGGAGGTAATTAAATACATTTGAGTTCCAGCATCCTCACTTGTAAAATTGGGAAATATTTCTGCTCATTACAGTTTACATGTAGATAATAAATACCAAATAAGCTAATGACTATGAAAACCAGTCAACTAGAAACACTTGCAGTATCTGTTTTGACCATGGAAATGATTACAAGGAAGTACAAATAGGAAATTCAGTACCTGAGGGAAGATTCAGATGCAAATCCCAGATCAGCTGCCTCCCCAATCTTGGAAAAACAATCTGTCAAAACTTCATTTTATGAAATTGTATTTATAAAAATATCTACTTGTAATTATTATCACTGGGTATAGCTTCATAATTTCCATCCCTCTTCTTTGGGGGTGAAAGCTGTAATAGCTACATTACTTCTAATTATATTTCTAAGTGGAAAACTGTCCCCAAGAATTTTGCCTGGGTTGGTTGCAGGAAGTAAATTGGATATACACATATACTGGAGAAGCAAGCATCATTGCATCTAACCATTCTCATTCTTGCACAGACAAGCACCTAAAGGGTACTCATCTACACTGCTGTCAGCTCACACCCCTGTTATTTACTCCTTTCTCCCACCACAGTGGGATTTGCAAATATATGTCCTCTAACAGAGCAGTTTAACTGAGGCTAATTGATGGATTTTTTTTCTCTGAATGTGCACACAGGTGGACACCCATATCCACGCAGCTGCTTGCATGAACCAGAAACATCTGCTGCGCTTTATTAAGAAATCATACTACATTGATGCTGACAGAGTGGTCTATAGCACCAAAGAGAAGAATCTGACCTTAAAGGAGCTTTTTGATAAATTGAAAATGCACCCATATGACCTGACTGTTGACTCTCTGGATGTGCATGCTGTAGGTTGAAAAACTAATGTTAGTTTCACTCTAATCCTCAGAAGCCCTCATGTCTTTCTCCTGCAAGCCCTTGCTTCTCATAGACCTCTTAACTATGTTGGCTGGAAGTACCTCAGACAATGTGGAGGCTCACTCACTGTCAGCTGTCCCAGAAGTCATCCTTGGAGCCCAGCCCCTTCCCCTGCTATAGCAGCCTGTTCCACTTGGCTAGTGCTGTGTCCAGGCAGCTCTGATAATCACATTCTTCTGCTGCTGTTTCCTGATCCAGGGACGCCAGACATTCCAGCGTTTCGATAAATTCAATGACAAATACAATCCTGTGGGAGCGAGCGAGCTACGGGACCTCTACCTGAAGACGGACAATTACATTAATGGAGAATATTTTGCCACTATAATCAAGGTGAGGAACAACCAACCAGATCTACAGTGCCTCGAATGGTTCTTGAATAGGAGAGGAGGGAGGGGAAAAGGGAAGGAAGGAATGGGAAGAAAATGAGGGAAGAGAAGAAAGGGAGGGAGGGAAGAAGGGAGAGAGAGAAGTCACAGTGCTGTCTCTGGGGCCAAGCACTACACAAATTAAGATAAGAATTTCTTCTGAGCTGGGCATGGTTGTCACATGCCTGTAGAATCTTGACTTCCAGGCTAGCCTGGTCAACTTAGTGAGACCTTATCTCAAAATAAAAAAGGCTAAGGATGTAGCTCTGTAAAGGCCCTGAGTTCAAGCCTCAATGCAAAAACAAAAACAAAAAATGAAACAAAACAAAAACCTCTGGCCCTAGGGTAGAGAAATTAAAGGTGGGGATTTGGAATAAGATCTGGCCTTTCAGTCATTGGAAGCCGTAAAGTCAGGAAGAACTAGGATGGGAAGCCACACTCATTTTCATGATGCTTGTGCAGACATAGCATGTGGGACTGGGACCTCTATGTTTTGAGAGGTAGGAAAATATGAAAAACTACATTTCCTTTGGGGTAATCTTAAATATTTTAACCTCTTTAGTCTTTTTCTTTTTTTGGATTAAATTTCTTGGTAGATGCCATCTTTTCTTTTGTTTTATTTTGTTTGTTGAGACAATGTCTTGCTATGCAGTTCAGGCTGGCCTTGAACTCACTATGTAGTCCAGGTTGGCTTGAACATGTGGCAATCCTCCGGCCTCCAGAATGCTGGGATTACAGTGTAAACCACCACCATGCCTGGTTTAGTCTGATTTTTGTTTTCTGATCTCCATCATGTTCAGTGAATCATTTATCCTCAACTCTCAGATGCCTTAGATCTCTTTTTTTCGTATTTTTTTTTTTTTGAGATAGGGTCTTACTAAGTAGTTCAGACTGACCTTGAACTCACTATATAGCCCAGGGAGACCTGCTGGGATTACCAGGGAGTGCCCCCATGCTGGTGGATCCCTTAGATTTTAACCTTTGATATTTTCCCTTCTACTTTCTTTTACATTCCCTCGGTTCTTTGTTTGTTTGTTTCCAGAACCAGGGATTGAACTCAGGACCTTGCGCTTGCCAGGCAGGCTAGGCGCCACTGACCTACATCCCCCCATCCCCTCAGTTCTTAATATGCACCTCCTCTTCCTAGATCTCATAGAGTTAGGCCCCTCAGGGGCTTAAGGGAATTCCTAGTTTTGATTGCTCTCTTGACTTTGCAGGAGGTAGGAGCAGACCTGGTGGATGCCAAGTACCAGCACGCAGAGCCCCGCCTGTCCATCTACGGTCGCAGTCCTGATGAGTGGAGCAAACTGGCCTCCTGGTTTGTCCACAACCGCATCTACTGCCCCAACCTGACGTGGATGATCCAGGTCCCGAGGATCTAGTATGTAGCTGCCCAGGGGAAACCCTGAAGCCTGCCCTCGTTCCATCCACCTCTCCTCCCCAGTGTGAAGAAGGAACGTGCAGCCCCTCTAGACAGAAACCAGGGGCCTGCATGCTTGGTTTTGTCCACTCTGGCTATAGTGCTAGACACAGACAGGAGTTAGGAAGATTGTTCAGTTCAATTTTTTTAACCAGAAGCTAAAGAAGAACTAGGCTAGAGTAAGAACCATGAACATTTTAGTAGACACTTTTTTCTCCCTGTTCTTCTCTGGGTCTAGTTCATTCTTTCCCATGTTCATCTGCACTGGAATGTAGCTTTCTTGTTCAGAACCTTTTTACCACAGTCTGTGGTGGATCTTTTTACCCACAGTTGCTCAGTTCTCCGTAATCAAAGGGTATTTATCAGTGGTATTGTTCTCTTTTTTGTTTTGTTTTTTGTTTTATGAGACAGGGTCTTGCTGTGTTGTCCAGCCTGGACTTGAACTCATGGTGATCCTCCTGCCTCAGCCTCCCAAGTGCTGGGACTACAGATTTGCGCCACCATGCCCAGCCTGTATTGTTCTTTCAAAAGATGTGGTATCACTGCCTTCAGTGATGACTTCTCTGTTCACTCATTGATCTTTTATCTCATGTTTATATATTCTCTGGCAACCTGCCTGTGTGCCCTGTAGCAATACAAGAGTTTTAGTCTATCTCTTAGGCTAAAAAAGTAACTTTATGACTGGAGTAGTACTTTCTGTCTACCATTAAGGCAGAGTCAGTGGATAGGTGGTTAGGAATATGGGCTCTGGACTCAGACTGGCTGTGTTTGAATCCTGGTTCTACCACTTTCTTGCTGTATAATCCTGGGTAAGTTATATTCTCTCTCTGTGCCTTAGTTTTATCATCTCTCAAAGGGGACACAGCACCTAACTTATTAAGTCATTATGAGGATTAAATTAGGTCATATTTCTGGTGACTTAGCAAAGTGGCTGGTATATATAAAATGTTGTATGTAGTTACCACAGATCAGAAATACTTTTTTTTTTTTTTTTTGAGGGATGGTGGTGTTTGAAACAGGGTCTCATTACATAGTTTAGGCTGGCTTTGAACTCATTTTGTAGCCCAGGTTGGCATCAAACTTGTGGGGATTCTCTTGCCTCAGCCTCCCAAGTGCTTGGATTACAGGCATGTGCTACCACACCCAGCTTCATCAGAGGTGTTTTTGATAACCATTTCATGTTCACCTTGTTGTATACCACACACACATATAAATAACTGAACTTTTTATGACACGATTGCTCTATTCTTCATTCTCTATCTGGACTTAATTGTGAAGATTTGGCTTCCTTACCACAGAGAATTTTTTGAAAGGGGGGGGCACATGGTCCAGCAAGAAATTTATGCTTCCTGCCCAGCCCAAAGCGAAGCCTTCTTTGTGGGTATGCAGGAAGAATATATGAAAGAGAACATGCAATACACCAGACCTTAACTGCTTTATTTACTTACTGTTTATTTCTTAGGTGCCAGGGGTTGAACCCAGGGCCTCCTGACAGCGAGGCCAGCTCTACCACAGAGCTCCCGCCCACACTGGCCCCATAGCAGGCCTTTATTCCTGTCCACGGCATTCGCTCCTCTAGCTTCCTCATACTGCAGCAATCTGTCCTAAGAATCTTCTCTTCCTAAATGTCTCTTCATTCTTGCCTCTAGTGATGTGTTTCGATCCAAGAACTTCCTTCCACACTTTGGAAAAATGCTGGAGAATATTTTCATGCCAGTGTTTGAGGCCACCATCAACCCCCAGGCTCATCCAGAACTCAGTATCTTCCTCAAGCATGTAAGCAGGGCCTTGAGGCCTTGGGAGTGCAGCTCCCGAGCAGCCTCCTGCCTGGCCAAGACTAATTCTGGCTGCTTATCTCTTTCCGTTTGGTCCTTGCTTGAGAGCTGGAAGTTTGTCTGAGGGCAAAACCCTTCAAGTTGGACCGAAACCATTGCCTGGCTTGTTTTCCTGACAGATCACTGGCTTTGACAGCGTGGATGATGAGTCCAAACACAGCGGTCACATGTTTTCCTCCAAGAGTCCCACGCCCCAGGAGTGGACAGTGGAAAACAATCCATCTTATACTTACTATGCCTACTACATGTACGCAAACATCATGGTGCTCAACTGCCTGAGGAAGTAAGTACAAGAGGCTGGGGCTGAAGGAGTCCTCTGACACCACTCTCCCCTCACACCCGGCTCTAGGCAGTCACAGGCCTCAGAGTACTCCCGGAATGTTTCCAGCTGGCCCAGATCAGAAATGGCTCTTAAACATTTTCTTCAGATTCTTAGGGGCAGCAATAGGCACTTTTGGTGGCTTCCATAACTTTCACAGTTCCTTTTCATTGGCAGTTTAGAAATTTACACTTATTACTGTGCCATTTATTATAAAACTCCATATATTTTACTCTTCTTGATGTCTCTGGGGTACAGAAGAGGGATATTATAAGTGTGTGTGTGCCAGGGCCTCACACCTGCTAAGCACAGGCTCTACCACTGAGCCACACCCCTCAACTTCCAATAGATTTCTTTGAAACCATTTCTCCCCCAAAGTGCGAGCAGGGAAAATTCTGAAATGGTAATACTCGTAGATTCCCTTTGAGACTGAAGATGTTTCTGTTCAGATAATTAACTCTTGATTGTTTCCTAACCCTTAGATCCTCTGCCATCTCTTCTTAAAAAGTTGATCTTTAGGAAGAATTGAGATGATGATTTGGGGGATAGCAGCTTCCTCATAGAGCATTAACTTTTTCTAATGAATTTTCTTTCTTTTTTTAAAATTAGTACATGTTTGTAGTGCATAATGATTACATTCATCGTGAGCAATCGATACATGTGTATAGCACACCTTAATTCTTTTTATATCCCTTTCCCCTCCTCCCCACCCTGTGATTTTTCTTGTAAACCACTCTGCCTGGCACCTGTGATTCCTATAGTGATTTCTCCTCCACAGGGAACGAGGCATGAATACATTTCTGTTCCGACCTCACTGTGGGGAAGCTGGAGCTCTCACCCACCTCATGATAGCATTCATGATAGCAGATAATATCTCTCATGGCCTGAATTTGAAAAAGGTGAGTTGAAGTTCTCTTTTTTTTTTGAGAATGGGTCTCACTCTGTAGTTCAGGCTGGCCTCGAACTCCTGTTGATCTTCCTGCCTCAGCCTCCAGAGTGCTGAAATTACACTGTGCACCTCCACAGCCAGCCAAGTCCTTTTCTTTTTCTTTTTTTTTTTTTTTTGGTACTGGGGATTGAACTCGGGTTCTTGGGCTTGCAAGACAGGCAGCGGAACCACTGAGCTAAATCCCTGGTCCCAGCCAAGTTCTTTTTAATACTAACTTTTATATCGGAGGGAAAGGTATCTTTCTGTTTTCCTTATTGTACTGTCACAAGACATCGACACTGGAATCAAATTCGAATAGAACATAAAAGATTTTTGAAACTAGTGCAATTCATTCTACAGAATGAAAGGGACTTGCTCAAGATGTCCTGACTAGTTACTCTCAGAGACGAGTTAATGCAGATCTCCTGACATCCCAGTTTAGAACTCTGACAAGGGGATAATTCAGAGGAAGCTCAGCTGACCTGAAGCTAGATTTTGCCAGACTTCTTGTTCTAGCAAGCTTTAAAAATGCCTCTCGTGAGTCAGAATTTTCATGTAGAAAAAAAGGTAGGTTTCAGGGCGAAGTCTTTTCAGCTTTAATTGCCTGGGTTAGGTCATCAAATCTACACAGTTGAAGCTCAAATAAATAATTTGTTTTGACTTAGTGCTTCTGAAAATGCCCCCAATACATTCATTCTAAATAGTGTTTATAATGAAAAACTAGAATTCTTCTTTACCAGGGGATTTAAAGAATAGGTGATATTTTTATTGAAAACTAAGGCTTAAGGTAGACCATGGGATTTTAAGGTTTCTAGTTTTTATCTCTTTTGCCACCCCTAATTTTCTTTTCTTTTCTTTTTTTTTTCACTGTTTTTCAGAGTCCTGTGTTACAGTACTTGTATTTCTTAGCCCAGATTCCCATCGCCATGTCACCATTGAGTAACAACAGCCTATTTCTCGAGTATGCAAAAAATCCATTTTTAGATTTCCTCCAGAAAGGCCTAATGGTCTCACTGTCAACCGATGACCCCATGCAGTTCCACTTCACCAAGGTACACAGACAGACAAGTGTATTTTGCTCTACTGTTGTTTCCCACCCAGAACTGCAAAGTCAAATCAAAGAACTTCATTTTTCTCTGTGTAAGATGCATTTCATTTTTTATTAATCCATTCTTTTTCTCTATGTTGCCTCATTTAAATAAATATCGGCAGGAGCCCCTGATGGAAGAGTATGCCATTGCTGCGCAAGTCTTCAAGCTGAGCACCTGCGACATGTGTGAAGTGGCGAGGAACAGCGTCTTACAGTGTGGGATTGCTCATGAGGTAGGGCTGTCTTTGGGAGCACAGGGTGACTTGAAGAATTACGGTAATTGAGGAAGCCCATGTAGAAAAATTGTCCCACAAATTATAGACAGGGACTAGAAACAATTATGCTCTCATCTCTCTGGCCATTCCTTTAGGGGAAGGGAAATAAAATATTCCTGATTTCTCAGTAGACTATGCACTGAGGCACAAGGTAAGAACTTGAGAGTGCATTAAAATGTTTTTTTCCCCGCTTTGCCTGTGGCAAAAGTCCCCCGCAGATGGGCCTGGGGATTTAGCTCAGTGGCACTGCAGCTGCCTCACAAGGGCAAGGTCCTGAGTTCAATCCCCGCTACTACACACACAAAAAAATTCCTAAAGAAGGAATTTTTGTGGAAAGTTTAATTATTGTCTACATCAGGGTAAAAAGAAACAGCAATCATTCTGCTCTCTTTTCTCTCGCAGGAGAAAGCAAAGTTTCTGGGTAAGAATTATCTTGAGGAAGGCCCTACTGGAAATGATATCCAGAAGACCAATGTAGCCCAAATCCGCATGGCCTATCGTTATGAAACCTGGTGTTATGAACTCAATTTAATTGCTGAGGGTCTTAAATCAACAGAATAAAATAAATAATCCAAATGATAATATGAGTGGGATTTTCATTGCAGACTTTGAAAAAAAGTATCAGGCAAGGATGATATTAGATGTTCCACTGACATTATTTCATTCAATGCTTTACATACTTTATTTTTTCCACAACTTTATAAAGTAAATATCTCTATTTTGGGAACCATGAGTAAACTGAAGTTAGTAAAGTTAGTGACCTGCACAAGATACAACTCGTGAGGTGTAGCAGTGAGGTCCTAGGCTTGTCTGACGACAGAGTTTCCATGATTTTCAGGCAAAGCAGTTATTTAGGCTAGACAAAAACACAAGCAAAGGACTTCACATTGGGAGAATATTGGTTTTGGCTTATGTAATTAAACTTGGTTAAGGCACTTAGAGGCATTAAAAAAGTCATTTGACAATGCACAAGTGAATAATGGTTTTCTCAGACAAAACCAAAGCAGGTACAATTTCCTATGATGAATATTATCATTATGTATATCTAGAATGTACCAATAAAAAATTTTAAAATATCAACCCCCCCACAACAACAAATATAAAAAATCAGTATTTATGTATTATTATACTCAGGGATAATTTATCTTACAAGAAGATTTTTAGTTTGCCAGTCTAAGATATACATGTAACTTTTTAGATTTGCCTGTTATTCAAGGTCAGGTGGAATTCCAATTAGCCCCATTATACTTCTATACGTACAACTGTGTCGCCACCTAGTGACTGGGCTGATATTTCAGTTTATTCAATTAGCAATTATTGGTCAAACATCTAAAGCAGAGGTGGCAAATGTATGGCATACATGCTGCTGTGGGCACGCAGAGCCCTCTCTGTCAGCACGCAAGCCAAGTGTATGAGTTGTTTTTTCTAAACTAAAACCTCAGTATTCAAGTTTAATTGCTGTTTTGGCCCTTTGGCTTTGGGTTGCAGTTTGGGCTTTTGTTTCTTAAAGGTTTGCCATTACTGATCTAAAGTATTGAGTATACTCTGGTTTCTCTTCAGATCGAATAAATCTTTCACCTTTTACTAAAGTATTGAGTATAATCCTAGACATCAAAGATCAGAGTAAGATTTCATTTTCTACCCTCAAGTTGTTCACAGCACAAAGTTAGGAAGTGTGCGGCTACAACTGTGAAAAAGGGAATTTTGTGAAACATCTCAGAAATGTTGTTCCATGTGGGAAAAAAACCCAACAAAACTTGAAGCACATTCCTGCATGTTTCTATGTTCTGTAGAGGTCATTAGTCATAAGCATAGGTGTGACCGTGTTGGCGTGTTTGTACTAGCCCTGCTTCAAGACTCCTCTTCCTGGCTTCTCAAGTTGAAGTTCTGTTTGAATCTGATTTTATTTTACTTTGGCCTCCTGGTCATCAAAGTAACACAAACTGCTAAATGAAACACTACTCGCAAATTTGAAAGGAAATTAAATAACACTATGTACCTCTCCCTCTTTACCCATGAGAGGGCAGTAGAATACATAAATGTGAATTAATTTATTATACTCAACGCATGATAGATTTGGTTTTATATCTGACATCTGGAATTCAGTCTGCCTCATTTTGCCAAATAATCTTCCTGAATTCAAATGACAAATTTCAAGCCAGGCATGGTGGTGCATGCCTGCAATCCCAGCTCTTAGGAGGCTGAGGCAGGAGGATTGCTGAGAGTTCGATGCCAGCCTGGGCTACATAGTGAGTTCAAGGTAAGTGTGAACTACAAAGGGAGATCCTGTCTCAAAAACACCAAAATTTTTTTTCAAAACCACACTACTTTAACCCAAAATTTCATCCTTGATAATTGTCTGAGAAACCTTTTTGTTTGCTTGTTTGTTTGTTTTGAGACAGGATCTTGCTATGTAGTTCAGGATGGCTTTGAACTTGCCAATCCTCCTGCCTGAGTGCTCAGATTACAGGCATGCGCCACCATGGCCAGCTGAAACTTTCTAAATATACTAGATAAGGAGGTGTGGGAGTTCATAAAGATCAGTGTTCCACCCTTCTAAAATGTTGGTCGGAATATAAACTAGTACAGCGACTGTGGAAATCAGTACGGAGAGTCCTTTAAAAAACTAAAAAGAGAAACTCCACTGGACTCAGCTATACCCTTCTGTCCCTTCTGGGTATCTTTCCCCAAAAAGTTAAAGTCATTATATCACAGTGATATACACAGGACTGTTTATAGTAGCACAACTCACAATAGCTAAATCTTGGAAATGGCCTACGTATCCACCAACAAACGGACGGATAAAGAAAATGTGGCATATGTAAAGGATAAATTTAAGTCATTTGTAGGAATGACCAAAAGGTGTAGGTGCACCTTGAAATCATAATGCTAAGTGAAATAAATCAGGCACTGGTTAAATATTTCATGGTTTCATTTATATGAGAAATCCAAAGAATAAATAACGTAAAGAGCAAAATAAAAGACAGATGCTAGAAACAAGCAAATGGGAAGAGGGTCTAAGGAGGGAGGAGGAGAGAGGAGGAGAGGTGAGGAAGGGAAAGTAAAAAAGATTAAAATGCAATATGTGTATGTACCAAATCTCCAGTTGAATATATTCATTATGAATCACAAAAATACTTAATGAAAAAAAGATTAGTGTTCCAAAATTTATTACAAACCATTCACATTTATTTTTCTCAGTGGGACATGATTTAAAGTTCTGTAGTCACACCTCTCCCCGATTATAGAATTCTATTCCCATTTTTATTGTCCATAGCTCTTGGTTTCACAATGGTTTGAGATTTGCTGTCTATTGTTCTGCTGAAGTTGGCTTGTGACGCGGCTTTCTGTGAGTGTAACCAAACACTCCTTTCTCGCAGTCTTCTATTTTGGTATCTCTGTGAGAACAAATGTGGGAAGCCAAGAGGCTCTGGCTGGGTGAGGCAGGGTGGGGTGGTGGGTGGAATGGGGCGCGCGGGGGGGGGGTGCTGGCGAGCCCGAGCCTGGGAAACAGGCTCCACTCATCCCAGTCTCGCGGCTTAGGTGAAACTGGGCTAAACTCGCGGCAGGCACAGCGCCATGAGCAAGAGGGTGTGCAGGCGAGTTCTTATGCATACGTGCGTCTCAGCCAGGCGTGGCGGCCACCCGGGACTCGGGAGTGAGGATCAAGGCAGCTCCGCTCCGATTGCCAGTTCGCATCTCCCTGCGACTCAAGTTGGAACCATACTGCAGCTGCTTGAGAAGTATTTGCTCCTTGCGCTCGGCCAAAGTGCTACTGTTTGACATTAAAGACCGCAGGCCAGCTGAGGACGGTGACAGGCGACAATTCTAGTTTCTTTGAAAGAGGTGCCAGTTGGATTTCTTGATTAAACCAGGCTTGATGTCTCTGGTGGCTGAAATGCATCAAACGTCACTTAGAGTTCAGGTCCGTCGCGCGGGGCCGGTCTGACCGCAGGCACGCCGAGGTCCTGGGAGCTCTGGCTCGAAGCCTCGGACGGACAGCTGTGGCCCGGGTCTCCTGCCTGCTGGGACCGCAGCCTGGCGGCGAGCAGGGCCGAGGAAGAGGTTGTAGCCAGTGAGTGGACTCGACGCCGGGAGGCTCCCGAGCTCACCCGGGTCCCAGGCGGTGCCGCTGGCAGGCGGAGCGGGTGAGGGAGGGGAACGCTAGCCAAGGGAAACCTGCTGAGGCGGAGCCTGGTCGTGCCAAGAGGGAGGGGTGGGAATGTAAGCCAATAGGAATCAGGTAGGGCGGGGAAAGGCTGAACAGGGGCGGGGCCTTCGGCAGGGTCTGCGGGGGCGGGACGGAGTGCGGCAGAGTGAGAGCCGGCGTCGCGCGTCTCGGCGGAGCGGCAGGACCTCGTAAGGCGTCTGCAGAGGGCTGTAGAGGGCCGGACAGGTAGGTTCGGCGCGGTCCGGGACGGGGTCTCAGGCCGCCCGGGCTTTGGCCGGTTGGCGCCGTGGGTCCGGCGTGTGGCGTGGGCTGAGGTACTTCCCGGCGCGGTCCTCGGGTGGCGGGAACCGGCCGGGCGGCGCTGTCTGGCCTGACGGGGCGTCCCCGGCGCCCGCGGCGCGCACCTCTCGGCCCGCTGGGAGGCCGGTGTCGGCGGCGGGGCCGGCTGGGGTCTTCTCGCCACCCACTTCGGGGTGGGCGGTTCTGAACAGTGCCCCGAGGCCGCCGGCCAAATTTGGGCTTGGATAGGCTGGAACGAGGACTTTCGGAGAACTTTTATGGTCTTTAGAGGTGTTTTGATTCTAAATAGAACCTGGCAGGCACTATAACCAAAGTCGTCACGTAGAATTTTAAGTTAAGAACCTGGCAGTGAACACCCTAGAGCATTTGAGTAATCCGTTTAGCAGATGATTAGATTATGAGTCAAAAGGCTTGAGACTAAAGGCCAGGCCCACTTTCCGGAGTGATGCCTCCGCCACATTAGCTTTTCCGGGCCTCGGTTTGCTGAGCCCTAAAGCGGGGAAACTCATGCTTTGTGGGTGTCCCGAGGCCCGAGAATGAGATGAGTGAGAATGTTCTGCAATGGCACGAGCTTTACTCTAAAGCTAGTTTATCACCCACTGTTTCAGATAAAGTGCTAAATTTCTGTTTACTATGTAGGTAAGTTGTTTAGCCTATTTTCTCATAAAATCATCATGGAAGTCCATTCTGTTTTTAATCAATTCGTTAAATTTTCGAGACAGTGCATAGAAGATGTACACTGTTGTTGAATCGTTACCATGAAGTTTGGTAGCAATCAGTCGCTTTTACCTTGGCTAAATAGTTTTTTTTTTTTTGGTACCGGGGATCGAACTCGGTTCCTTCCGCTGGCGAGGCAGGCGGCGGAACCACTGAGCTAAATCCCCGGCCAGCCTTAGCTAAATAGTTGTACTTTAAGATAGTTGGCAACGTGAAGTGGGAGTATTGCTTCAAATTAAGACTTTCGTTTGTTTTTGTAAATTGAAGGGCTATTTAAGGAAGATTTAAATCCTCTTAAACTAAGTTAATATATAGCCTTTATTATAGATATTTATGTTGTATTTTGTTTTTTGTGACAGGGTCTCACTATATATTTCAGGCTGGCCTTGAACTTACTATGTAGCCCCGGCTGGCCTTGAACTCACAGCAATTCTGCTTCGCCCTCCCAGGTGCTGGCATTACAGGCATTTGCCTCCACTGACATTTATGTTCTTTACTGTGGGTATGTGTGTTCAGAGGTTTAGAGAGGAGTTACAGGAGTGTAGCTTAATAATTTCCCAGGGAGAAACCAGGATATATAATAATTGTGTTTCTTAGTCTTTCATTAGGTTTTTTGTATTGAATGTGGCAATAGACTTTTTAAATCATAAAGGGAGAATACTAAGTTTTTTGACAATAGGCTGTTTTCTAAAGGTGCGAGTCATTGTTTTTAGGGTCTTTTTTTTTTTTTTTTAAAGGAAAAATCTCTTTTTTATTGTGGGATTTTTTTTTTTTGGTACCAGGGATTGAACTCGGGACCTTGTGCTTTTGAGGCAGGCGGCGGAACCACTGAGCTAAATCTCTGGCTTTAGGGTCTTTTTGAGACAAAGTCTTATTATGTTGTTCAGGCTAGCCTTAACTCCAACTCGTTGTGAGCCTCCTGCCACAGCCTCCTAAGGGTTGGGATGACAGACATATGCCTAGCTGAGTCTTAAAAGCAAGAATATTAGACCACTGTATGCCAAGATGAAATTAAATGGAGGAATAAAAGGAATGTTTACTAGTGAATATAGATATTTTTCTTTTTCTGTGAATAGGTTTTGCATTGCTTTTAAAGTTTTGTTTAGATATATTTCAATATTTCATTAGATGTGTGTTTTGAAACTACTTTAAAGCACCAATTTTAGACAGGTGCTCCATAATTTCTGAATCTATAACTTGTTGAGTTTACAAGTCTAAAACCTTACAGTCACCTTATTTATTAAGCACCTATTATTCCCCAAAGCACAGTTGTAGCACTTACATTGTATTCAGATAAAAGTGGGTTGTAATTCCTTCCCTGTGGGAAATTACACTCTATGTAGTGAGCTGTATTTAAAAAAGCTGTTTGTTTTAAACTGGGCACAGTGACACACAGCTGTAATCCCAGTTTTCTGGGAGAGTGAGGCAGGAAGATTGAAAGTTCAAACCCCGCGTCGGGGCAGTTTAGCAAGACCCTGTCTCAAAATTTAAAAAAAAAGGAGGAGGCTAGGAATGTAGCTCAGTGCAAAGGTCCTGCATTCAATCCCCAGTACCTGGGAAAAAAAGCTGTTTTAAAAGCTGACTTTAGGGATAGGGTTTTAATTTAGTTGTAGAGCACTTTTGCCTAGTGTGCACAGGGTGCCCTGGGTTTGATCCCCAGCATGGCAAAAACAAATAAAAAACTAGTAACAGTAGACTATCAGCTAGCATTTATTGGACCTAGTCTGTCCCAGGCAGTGTTCTGAATTCTATACATGTGTCACCTTATTTAATCTTCACACCAATACCAGGAGGGATGGGTGCCTTTATGATCTTGCGGAGGGGCATAGAGGGGTTGAGTAACTTGCCCATCATCAGACAGCTTAAGTAGCAGAGACAGGATTCAGATCTGATAACCCTGGACAACCCTGACCTTCACCTTTGCACTCTAGTGAGTTTCAAGTTCTGTGAGTGATATACATAGGGAGTGGGACAGGTATTTAAAAGAGTTCTATGAGGAACTTCTTCAAAGGGTGGGGAGCGATGTACATATGAAATCCACAGGTATTTAAAAGACAGCTCTATGAGGAACTTTTTCAAAGGGTGGGGGGACTGGTATTGCAAGATAGAGTTGAAGGCATGTACAAGCTACAGTTTAATTATGCTTTGTAAAAACTTTGAAGGGGGGGACTGGTGAATGATGTGGGATTCTTTTTGTTTCTAAACTCACTCAGTCATTACAATTGTGGCATTATTTAGCAATATATGAGATGTTTATTTTTCAGTAAGTTTAAACCATAAGTTAAATGTGAGGTTCAAGAAAAGAAAATGCTTCCCTGTCTTCAGGAAGCTTATAGACGTGTCATTAAGTCCAGGTTCTCACCATTTCAGGGTGCAACAGAGGTCCAGAGTTTAATGGGGAATACTGATGAGAAAATTATTCTACAGGGGTAGGGAGGAGGATTGTAGAAAAGCTGCCATATTTGAATTTGGCTTTGAAGGGTGAATAGGAGTTGCAACTCCTATGTTTTCAGTAAGAAAACAGTAAGAATGAAAACCAGAGATTGGTTGGGGCTGGGGATTTAGCTCAGTGGTGCCGACGCCTGCCTGGAAGCGCAAGGTCCTGAGTTCCATACCTGGTACAGAAAAAACAAACAAACAAAAAAACAGATATATGAGAAAGTGTGTGGTATATTTGAGAAATGTGGTCATCACTAAAGGTCAGAGTGTTACTGAGGTGAGTGACTGGACTACAAGGGATGATGCCTGGAAATTAACTGGAAAAAGGAAATCATAGAGCTTGGCTGATTGTGAGTTAAGTGGAGGTAATGGGAGTTGATTTGATTCCCTTCCTATGGAGTAATGAAGTGAATGATTGGTCTGGTTTGGCAAAATTTTCATTGTGGAATATGATGTTAAAGACAGTTCTGAAACTTTGCACTACAGGATATATTATAAAAGAGCAGATTTACATAAGTAAAGAGTTAGGGTTCTAAAAAAGAAAAAAGAAAGTTTGCTGGTGCCAGGTACTAAGGAGCTTTATGTATCATACTAAGGACTTTGGACTTGATTGTAAAAACAGTGAAGAGCCCGGTGTGGTAGGGGACACCTGTAATCCCAGCATTTGGGAGGCTGAGCCAGGAGGATGGCAGTGAATTCGAGGCCAACCTGGGCTACATAGTGAGTTCAAGGCCAGCCTGACCTGTACGGCAAGACCCTGTCTCAAAAACCAAAATAAATAAATAAATGAATAAATAAATAAACCCAAACAGTGAAGATCCAGTGAAGGGTTTTGAGTAGGAAAGATAACGTGGTGGTGCAGAGTGGACGCTGAATTGAAGGAAGAGAGAGGAAAGGTGGGAGGAAGTAACAGTAAGCCTGTTGTTATTGAAATAGTGCAGATCTGAGCAGGTGAGGCTCTGGAATGGGAAACTACTAATGGGAATGGAGAGGACTGGATGGGCCTGGACAGAGGATGAAGATGTGGAATTGGGAGGACTTCAGAATCAGTTGATTCTGGAGGAACAGAAGAGTAAATGACTTAATTTCTTACCTTGGAATACTGTATGGATAAAGGATCTTGTTTTGTTTTTTATGTGGAGGAAGATAATTTTTTCAGTTTTGAATGTGTTGAGATCAAAATGTCTATGGAGAGTTCAGTTAGAGATGTTGAGGTAGGATCCATAGTCCTGGGATTGATGATTCAGGTTTCCAAGTTAACAAGTAATCATTAAAGCCAGAAGAGCAGATGAAATTAAGAGAGCCAAGGATAAATTATTTGCCTTGTGTAAGTGGAAGGGATTAGTTTTTATGTTAATTTTGTCTTTTAAATTATTGTAAAGCCGTGAAATGGATTTTAATTGAAAACTTAAATAACTTTCATATTTACATGAATCCTGTCCTTTTAAAATTTTATTTTGAGAGTCATTCATTTGTTCCAGAATTGTATTGTCTAAATTTTTACTGGAGTCCCTCTTTGTAAAGAAAACTTTATGCTAGACCCACATCCATACAGGAAAGTAAATCCTCTAACTTTATTATAAAAGTACCTTTCCTTGTCTATACTTTGTATTTGCATGGCATTATGCCTTGAAGCAAAGCTCTGAAATATGGTCACTTGAATGTTAGTTCTTAGAAGTCAGAGATAAGAGCTTTTTAAAAAATAAAAATAGGCCGGGGATTTAGCTCCCTGGTTTCCCAGCCTGCTGTGCAAGTGCAAGGTCCCAAGT